TCCTCCAACACCTGTTAAGCCAGTTTCGCATTTTCAAAAGCTCCTCCATCATTTCAATGGAAACAAATCTTCGCATACATCATTTCTACGCGGTACACCATTGACATCCAGTCAACAACGATCAACAATAAAAACCAATGGTTCGATGGTCACAATTCTGAAAAATAATCATAACAAATATGCTGAACCTTCACGACCTAAACAACAGCAATCTGCCGAACACTACGATGAATCATTTCCCCCTCCCCCACCTCCTGAATTAGCTCACGAACAGTTACTTGGTATTTTGTTTCAAGGTAATCAAACACGGATCTCTTCCATCTCTCCCTCACCCTCTACATCATCGGCAACGACACATACATCGATTCAACGACTAATGATCGGAAAAAATAAACAGCAGCAACTACATACAAACACAGCGAGTATCTCACCTACGATGTCCAATTCTGATCTTTCATTTTCACCATCTGGTATTAATGTTCTCTCACCAAGTAGTATGCTCTTTTCCATTGATTTCAATACCACTGTTTTTCCTTTTCTATCTTTCCCAAGGTATCGATACGTTTTCTGGTTATGAGCTTGGTCCAATGAGCAAGTCAGTTCCTAATACCATGTTAGATTCTCAAACATGGTCACCACCACGTTACATAACAACTCCATCGTCAGTCTCACCTTCGAACCACACATGTCATTGTGGTTCCACTGTCAAAGATGAATTAATTTCCATAAATGATGACGATAAATTTTTCATTCAACGCGATTGGATCTACGATGAAATGTATAAATTATTGAAAGGAACGACGAAACCCGGTCTTGTTCTCCTCAGTCGTACCCCAGGTATGGGTAAAACATTGCTCATGAAGAATCTTCTTCGACCAACATCAACAACTTCGATATCGACGTCAACAACATCTCAACAAATGACATCAGTGATTACTCGCAGTGAAAAAAGTAAAGTTTCAGACATATGTATTTTCATACTCACCGACGTCTAACTCGTCTCATTGAGATTTAATCTTGATCAAACATTGCAAATACTTTAAAATAAAACTAATCTCTAAACGAAATGAAATCTGACAGGTTCATCAGCAGAGAAAAAGAAGATTGCAATCGATACTTGCCTATTCCGAACCTTCATCTTTCTTTATTCTAGCTTCTATTATTCTTGTTAATTCTCCTAAACGTTCGTCTTATGAATGGCTACGATCGCACATCTTATCATCGCATTTTTGTGATTGTTCACAAACAAATTCTTGTTCATTACCTGATATCATTCATTCAATCATTTATCGTGCACTTGAACATCCACTTCTACACGCCTATCGTGATGTTATTCTTCGTGAGCAACACACGCGGAAAGCAATAACGTTAAATGCATGTATACAAAACATTGAACATGCGTTTTTCACTGGTAACAATTCATTTATTCGAGAAAAATGTTCTTTGAACTTTTTCTTTTCACAGCTTTCCTCGATCAATTAAATCAATTGAAACTTCTTGGCCATTTAGAAGATTTATTTTCCATATCTAATCACGTCTATTTAATTATCGATGGTATTAATAACGAATTATGCGACACCGAAGGACAAACCATCACCGAATTTTTATTCGCTAACCTTCATCGTCTTCCACCATGGCTCAAATTAATCATAACAATGAATCGTCTTGATGACGATCAACACCAAAGAGAACAAAATACTTTTCTTCAAAATTTTGTTCTATTAGACATCGAAGATGAGCCGCGATTTTCGACTTGTTTGTATAATGATATTCGAGAATATTTATCCAAAAGATTAGAAGTAAGTTTTGCTTAGTCATGAAGAGTTTTTTTCGTGCATATTTCGTTTATTTAGAATGATTGTAGTAATGAACTATACGATCTGTCATCATCCATGTCAAATATTGATCAATTATGTACGTTATCTCATGGAAATCTTCTATTTATTCAACAACTTTGTGATATATTCGAACAACGAGAATTCCCATCAAATATTGACCTGCCGCGAACGTTAGATGAAATCTTCTATTATCGATTTTTAAATGAAAATATTCAACGAAATTTGGATGTGTGTCGAGCGATACTGGAACTATGTTTGGCATCACGACGACCTATTAATTTAAATGTTCTATATGATTGTTTGAATATTGATGAAACTTTTCGAGTTGAATGGCCAATATTTGTACAAGTAGATTCTTTGAATTTCATATCAAACATTCTATTCATTCGATTCTTGCTTTAGAATATCTCGTTTTTATCAGTCTTCTTAACACAATTTCCTAATTCAACCTATGCGATCAGTCACGGATGTATTCGGAATTGGTTATTAATCAATTCTCATCAGTATTTCGCTTCTAACGTCAAGTGAGTCTCCATATTGAGAAGAACATCACGTATTTTTCGTGTTTTCAGGAAAGGTCATTCACGTTTAGCACTTTATTTATCACGTTCATTAACTACACCTTTGCATGGTCCAGAAGCCATCGAATGCATTCGTCATCTTTCATTAAGCGACCTATTCTCTAATAATATTATGCAAATTTGTCATACAGTTAAACACTTAATCGATGATCCATCACGTCTATTGGCTTGCTTACGAAATGCCTTCTATCCTGAATTAGATATCTGTGAATTACTTTTAATGATATCAGCTAATCCCAATTCCTTAGTCGATTCGATTCATATGCCACTTTTATGTATTGCATCTCGTAATGGTTATGCTTCGTTCGTTGAATTACTTTTGAAATATCATGCAAATGTCAATATCACAACTAAGAATAATGAAAACAAAACCGCTCTCATGTTAGCTGCTGAGTACGGACATGAAAATGTCGTGAAATTATTGTTAAATTACAATGCTGATGTAAGTTGGACAGCTTGTTTTTATGTAATCGAAGTCAGTTGAATGTGTTGTTTTGTACAGATCACTCTCAAAGATAAATATCAATTAACGAGTGTAGCTTATGCAACAAAACATGTTGCTATTTTGAAATTACTCAATTGTACAGATGAATCGATTCAACAACAAGCATTTGTTTATGCTGCATCGAATGGTTCATTAGACGCTCTGGAATATATGTTAACCGATAATACTTATTCGTCGATTGATATCAATGGGATTGATTATGTACATGGTGAAACAGGTAAGAGAGAAAGACGAAATGAATTGAGAGAATCTTCGAAAAACTAATGTTCTCCGTTTGAGAATAGCTTTAACAAATGCAGCAGGTCATGGCCATATCAAAATTATTGATTATTTAATAACAAATCATCAAGCTGATATTGATCGAATAAATACACGGCAAATGACACCGTTGTTACTAGCGGTTAAAAATGGAATGTGGTCATGTGTGGAATATTTACTCGATCATCAAGCGTCAATCGAACATTGTGATAAACAAGGACGAACATGTTTAATCATTGCAGCTACAGAAGGCCATCTAGCAGTTCTTGATAGTTTATTAGAAAAAGGTTTGTTTACACACGTGTTGCCTTTCTGAATTCGATACAAGTCTTTCGCATATTCCAGGTGCTAATGTTCATCATCAGGATGAGGAGGGTCTAACAGCTTTATCATGGGCGTGTCTCAAGGGTCACTATCATGCTTGTGAAACATTGTTAAGCCATGGAAGTGATATTAACCACGAAGATATCAATGGACGTATACCAATGGATATGGCATCGTTCTACGGCGATGTTCAACTCGTTCAATTACTTATTGATCATGGTTCTGTAGTGGATCATGTGGATAAAAATGGCATGCGTGCATTAGATCGTGCTATAGGTTGTCGAAATGTTGCCGTTGTCAATTGTTTGTTGAAGAAGAGCGTGAAACTTGGTAAGATACAGCAAACGCGTCGGTTGTGTGTAAACGTGCGTCATCTATATGTATAGTAGAGGTATTCGATAGAATGTTTTTGCATGTATCTAACGAACGAGGAATACGATTTTTTCCTGCATATAGTATCTGTTATGTAACGATCTGAGAATCAATTCGATGTAAATTGAATAGAATTTGTTTTAGTAAGATTGAGATGATTTTTCTCACGATGTTGATATGTGTCTGGAATTTTAGGCCTCTCGACGTGGGCATTAGCAGCTGGTAAAAATGATATGATGACAATTTTAATCTCGAAATTGATCGACGATGGTGTTTCACTTTATAAAGTAAATACTGCTTGATTTGGTCGTTCAATTGCATATGTTTTGTCTTTCGAAAACTAGAAAAATCAATATAAAGATGCTGCTTATCGTTTTTCGTATGCATTGAAGAAATTACCTGCTGATATCGATCAACAGACAACAGATCAATTTGTGACTAACTTTCGTTTAATGAAATACAATTGCTTAATCAATTTAGCTAAATGTAAACGAAAACTAGACGTATGTGAAAAAGAACGAAGTGTCAATATCTTTGCTGAGAACATTCTTTCTTGTTTTAGTGCTACGAAATAGCAATTGATTATTGTACGCAAGCACTCTGTATACATAATACTTCGGATGCTCTTTTACTTCGATCCAGAATCAAACGCGATCAAAAGTAGTGAATATTCCTCATTGAGTTTCAGTTTTTCACATATATGTCGTTTTAGATTGTACGATGATGCATTAACTGATTTGCTTGCTGCGAAAAATCTTGATCCAGCTAATACAGAATTAGATCGATATATCAATCGATTACATGTGGATCTTCAACACTGTCATGAAACTCTTCTATGACATTCCATTTGCAACTGACCCCGGTCAAAAGTCTCTTTCTTCATATTTCAATATATATATTTTTTTCTTCTTTATATGTACACATTTCTTGTTGAACAGTTGAATAATGCTTGTGTTCTTCAATTAAAAATCAAACTCTTCTTTTTCTTTTTCAATCTCGCTCGTTTTCTTCTTTTGTTAATTTGATTCAAGTTATAATAGAGATAAAACCTTCCAAATCGATTATTTCTTGTTTTAGAAGCATTCTAAAGAACAAGGAAAAGCATTTTCATGTTTAGAATCAATGTATGAGAAAATCTTTGGTACACAACATCGTCTGACTGTCTTGAGATTGTATAAAACTATTCTCCGTCTACATCAAAGTCTTCCTCATGAATTAAATCAATTAGGCACCCAATACGCTCGTGATGAATTTCGTCGTCATAAGAATGCTCAACCAGAATTCGTTACTAACTTTATGGTTGAATGGAGTGTAAGTATCGTAAAACATCATTCAATAATGGTAACATATCGTTTTTGATTTTCACTGCCCGCGTGAAGAATGAGCAAGTCATTTGATAATGAGTGAATTGTTTGCTCTGCTTTGAATAGTTGATAATTGATCAACTCATATCTAATTGAACAGCGTGTTAATTTGCTTTTAAGGAGCAATGAATTTCGTTTGAATGAAAACGTTTTGTTCGCATATATTTATTCTCTCGAAAGAATGCAATCGTTGAATGTGCTGGACAATGTAAAAAGTATTGTCTGCCCGTCTTCTTCTCCCTATTCGTCACGTTTAATGACATATTTTTCTTTTTCGTTCCTCCGATTCATGATAAACATTCACGTTTACGATCGTCATCACTTTTTTTTTCTCTCTTGTATTTATTTCACTTTTTCTTCGCAGGAGTACGCTCGAATACTAACACGTCAAGTTTCGTCTAAAAACAAGGCTTCATTTGGTAAAGCGTTCGATACATCATCATTCGATCTTCTCAAAGAAGATCAACTCTGTCAACTCTTCGAATTATACACAGAAATTCACAAAGCTACTCAATCAACGAAATAATGCCTAGTAAATCGAAACTAGGAAATTTAATTCGTTTAACAAGTAATTTAGATGACGCAGATCAATGTCCTTCACCTCCTATCAAAGATCCATATATCCTTTCAATTGACATTGGTACATCCTCAATACGTGCTTTCCTTTTTTCGAAATCTTTTGAAATTGTATCATCAAGTCAAAAATCACAAACACTTCTTTGTCCCGAACCACATGGTTATGAATTCGATCCCGATAAGTTCTGGTCCACATTACTCGAAGTGATCAATGAAACCATCCAATGTGCCAAACCATTAACTGCTACAGATATCACTTGTCTGGGAATATCAACATTGAGAAATTCAGTTATCCTATGGGATCGTAAAACAGGTGAAACATATTCGAATATCATCCTCTGGAATGATTCGAGATCGAGTTCACATGCAACATCAACGAATACATCATTGACATGGAAAACTATTCGTGGCTTTGCAAAAGTCATTTATCCTATCGTTCAAACTGCTCGCATTTCAACATTGTCCAATCTCGAGTTTCGCACGCAAATGATTGCATTCAAATTATTGTGGCTATTCGAAAGAAAACCGGAATTAGTTCAACGTGCGCGAAATAATGAATTATTATTTGGTTGTATCGAAACTTGGTTAATCTGGAAACTAACCGGTGGACAAGAACACGTCACCGATGTATCATGTGCGAGTTCAACTGGTCTCTACGATCCATTTCTGTCCCAATGGTCTACACTACTTTGTAGAAATCTGGGCATCGACATGAGATTACTACCAGCAATTAAACCGACATTCGGAGAATTCGGAAGATGTGATCCGAACCTATTTGGTAAGAGTCCGACGCATGTTAATAAACGTCTCATTGCTTATCAGTCACGAAAATTGTTCGAACATCTGAATCAGCGTACTTCACGTATTTGCTTAAGATAAAATGAGGCAGATGATGATCAAAGGTAGAAATAGCTAGTACGACTATCCAATGTTGCTTAGCAAATATTACGAAAAAAAAATCCGACATTGAATGAGTCACAACGATATCTTAGATTCAAAGCAAATAGAAAAAAGAGTCACTTTCTTCCTAGGGTGTGCAATTCCTATCACTGCTGTTATTGGCGATGTTCAAGCGAGTATGTTTGGTCAATGTGTATCTCAACCTGGCGAATGTTTACTCACATTGGGTACCGGTGCTTTCATCAATATTCTAACTGGTCCTGTTAGCGCTTGCACCGATGGTATTTATCCATTAGTTGCTCATTCGGATCTCTCTAATTCGTCTGAAAACGTTCATTTCATGCACGCATTCCATAGCGGATGTGCGACGGTGCTAAATTGGGCTAAACAAGCGCAATTTTTCGACGATTTTTCTGAACTGAATGCTATATCGACTGATGCTCGACCAGCGAAAGCCTTCTTCCTTCCAGCATTTGGTGGTCACAACAACGATCCATACTGCGGTTCCGGTTTCATTGGTATCGATAGCGAGACGAAACGCGATGACTTACTCCGTGCTATCCTGGAATCCATTGCTTTCGTTATCTACGAAGTCTTTTCATTTGTTCGTGAAGATTATAAGAAACATCAAGGAGGTAAACAGTTGAAATGTCTACGCGCAGCTGGTGGTGTGGCAACATGTGATTTCATCTGTCAAATCATTGCTAATTTATCCCACATGTCAGTTGAACGATGTCATGCGTTCAATTTAGCTTCTGGTATTGGCGCTGGCTTTCTTGCTGCTTATGGTTACAATCTTGTGGACGATTACGAATATTTTCAAAAGATTATCACTGTTGACAAAGTATTCGAGTCTGTTCATTGTGATATTACAGAAACGAACTATAAACAATGGAAGGCGATCGTACCTCGCTTTGGCAAGTGGTACGCATCGGATGATAGAAGTGATACTTGAGTTCATGATTTGTTTCTCTTTTTTGATGATCTCGTCTTTTTTATTTATCAGTCGTGTTTTTGGTTTTTGTTTTGATGTATTAATTCAAACAGCTCACCCTATGCTTTTCTTGTGTGCGTTATTTTGTGATAAAAGTGAACACTTTTATTAGAAAGAAGCCGCTTATTTTTCACCTTTAGATGATATTATTTTCATTGAGAAATTGAGAATAATCGTCATGTCATCAGCTTTACTACGTATACCATCTCTAGGTAAGTTCAAAGATTCAATGAAGATGGTCATCTTGATGCCTCTTCTAGTTTCATCGTCGATTGTTCGACGTTTGGTCATCGCCAATGCTTCAACTAGTAGCCAAACAACAGCAGCAGTGACGAAGTCCGAGAAACTGCCGCAAATTAAAGTTGCTCTGTGTATACAACGATATGCACATTTATCACCTGAAATGGCACCAATAGAAAAAGAATACACAGACTTAATCACCGAAGTGGAGACTGAAAATAGTTATTTATCGGATCATGAATTACGACATAAACGAGAACTGTAAGTGCATATTCTACAGCATTCATTTATATTCGTCCATTTTTAGTGAACTTGGTAAACAACGGCAAATTTCGGCGACGAGTACAGCCGCATCCGTCACAATTGTTGAGACAGCTGTTGATTTAGAAGATCGTTTAGCAAAAGATTTTTCTAATTTTCACTTCATGCCAAGAGAAACAGGTACTTGATCCATCATTTTTTGTTTGTTTGACTCATATTTGTTCCATTATTCACACGTGTAGAGGATGATAAAACAAATAATCTGCATAGTCACAATCGTAAACTGGATGATAATCTACTACTAATTGTTCAGCAGAAGAATACTCAAACAAATAAAGATGAATGGATTTTTCCCGAGAAAAACTACAATGGCGAACGATCACTACGAGCAGTATGCCATTTCTACGACCAAAAAAGTAATGATATACGTTCTTTGTTGATGTTAGGCTGTTGAACAACTGGTGACAACATGTGGAAACCTTCATGTTCAAATAGCTGGCAACGCGCCATTAGCATGTTATAAAGATGATGCCGATAAATCGTCGAAAAAAGTAAGACAGAGCATCTGAACAAGATTCATCGCCTACTAGGCACGTACTGTTTTTAATAGATTTTCTTTTACAAAGCGGAATATCTGGCAGGTATTGTCAAGCAATTCGCTACTCTCAAATCATCTCCTTACAAAGACTATGCATGGGTCACCCATTCCGATCTGACAAAATACTTGTCACCGTCATATCATAAAGCTGTTAAAGATATGTTATTTGTTTTTTGATAAATACATGCATAGAATAGATACGTTCATTATTCAAAACTTAAGAATAGCGTCAAATACTAAGAGTACTACAGATAATTAGAAGTAATATCGGTATAAAGTAGTTGCTTCCAGTGCTGGTGGATTGATCATATTGCACCTGATAAAGTCTATGATTTCCATCTTCACTAAATAGTAGACTTCCATCCTTTAATACTAATAATCCGACAGGTCTTCCGAATGTCGTTGGTCCTGATGGATCTGTTAGAAATCCACGAATAAAATCTTCATAGTATCCCATTGGACTATTCGTATCTTTGTTAAATGGTATGAAAACGATTTTATGACCGGTGCCTTCATTTCTATTCCATGATCCATGCAGTGCTGCAAATGCGCCGTTTCGATAACGCTCTGGAAATTGTTGACCGGTGTAAAAGAGCATATCGAGAACGGCTGAATGTGCTTGAAAGAGAACATCTGGCGTTTGTGTTTTGGATACTAGATCAGGTCGTTCACTTGTTCCATTTGCCAGACGTCGTCGAGGATCGAGCAAAGTTGAACTCAGATATGCATATGGCCAACCGAAAAATTGATTTTCTCGAACGCGAGTAAAGTAATCTGGCACAAGATCATCACCAATAAGGTCACGTTCTTGACAAGCAACATACATATCGTTGGTTACAGGATGAAATGCTAATCCGGTTGGATTACGAAGGCCATCAGCAAATGTCTTCTGGTTTGTACCGTCAATATTTGCCTGTTGAATCGATGCTCGAGGTGAATCTTCAATATCGACATTCGATGCCGAGCCAATACCGACAAAAATCTTATCATGTGATGGTGAGATCGTAAGCGATCGTGACCAATGACCGCTTGCATCGTACGTCATGAGTATATCACCGGTGCCTTCTAGTTTTCGACTACCATTTGTCCATGGATAACGGCGCAGTGCATCTCGATTACCGACATAGAAGAAATTATTGAGAAACATCATTCCATAAGGTCGATTAAGGCCATTCGATTGGTCAGCAAATGTCGTTCGTTGATCGGGATACCCATCATTATCGGTATCAACTAGACAGGAAATACGACTAATTACTGATTCAGCTACAAGAATATCACCAGAAGGTGTATAGATTAAGATGCGTGGCGATGTCAAGCCGACAAAGTAAGGTTTAACAGAAAATCCAGATGGTACGAACAGTTCAGGATCTTCTGGCACTTGGACAACAGTGCCACCCTCGACTGCTGATGCACTAATGTTCGGTGCTGGAAGGTCATTGATCGTAATTCTGATAGGTTGCGGTGCGAAGGTGACGTTTTTTGCATGAATTTGTTCCAAGCAGATGATAAAAATAAGGAACAAATACATCAAAGCCTGCATCTGTTATCGATGAATTCTGATAAGAAGGTTTATGGGACGACTAATGTAGTTGCAATCCTGCGATATATAAATACTTGGATAACGAAAAGATTTGTATGTAGATGACAAATGACAACTCAAATTATATGCTTATCATGGCTTTATGTAAAACTGCATGGTTAAGAATAAAAGCTTATCTTGATATTTTACAGCTTATGTCGTATTTTTCAACTTCCAACGGAAATAACATCAATTGCTTAGATAAATATATTATACAACAATTATTTAAAGCACCTAAATATCAACAGTTTTCAGGTCGCTCATTCAATTAAAAAAGAACAATTTACTCGTTCGCCTTCGACTGCTTTTTTGCTCTTTGTAACCCATTAAACAAAATATTAGGGGCAATAAAAAAACTGTTCGTTGATTAATGATCGTACATAATATAATCGTCCTCTTTTCTTGATAAAGTCGACTGTTTATCACAAAAACAGAATCAATTCTCCTAGTTTTTCGTCTAGAGAGGCGGAGTTACAACATCTATATCCTAAGCTTTGTAATTATTCCACTCGTCTGCCTTTTTAATTCATTTATTTCGATCTAGATTCAAGTCTTTTGCTTTTTAAATTCACATTGAAATCAAGCAGACCATCATATAAGTATAATCAAGTGTATTGACCGAAGCCGAATCATATATTGACACGTAATGTTGAACTTGATTCAATAATCGATTTTTCGAAGTGACCTACATAAGTAGACTAGAAGAATCAATGAAAAGAAACCTCTAGTACGAAGTAATTATCGAGATGACTAAATTTGCGTCAATCAAAGCGAAAAAATCACTTGGAGATTGTTGAACATGATGAACAATTCAGCCATTGCTAAATCGAACGGAAGAACGGAACATTTCACTCTTTGTTATAGTAAGGATATAATCGTTTTCACTTTTACGGTGATTATTACGAGTTAAATTGAACATCAATAGTGTCTTCGGTTGCGTATGCATGCTTGTAATTCAATTTGAAATTTTTTGTTCAAATGCATGAAACATATTGATATGTATTTTTATCTTTCAACAATTAAAATTTACCGAACAGTTGATCTTATCATCTTCAGCTATTCCACGAAATAATAGACTGAGAAATCTTCATTTGTTTGTCTCTTTCTTTATCTGGGAATGATACAACTATTAGAGAATACTCTTCTATAATCATCATATTATTTTGAGAAACGATTTAAGTTACTTTGCTTGTAGTATCGTCGGCGGCAAAGAAACAACTAACGACATGAGTGGCTTATTCCAGCCTCCGATAACATAATTTTGATTGGCTACGCTACTTTGATTAATATAAAGTTTAAATGAGTCACTCAGGTGTATAAGAAACAGTCATTTATTCTTTCGATCATGTTTTTGTCAGTATATTGTATCCTTACATACGTCATTTGTGTTTATTTTTCGTCAATCATTGTTATTACGATGAGCAACACAATCTTCACTGTTATCAGGTTTGAATATTCACTTCCGAAATTTTCTTCTTGTAGAACATCGTGATTTATTCTCATGAATCACACACCTTTACGTATTTCCTTTCATGACTGTCAAGAATATGTCTTTATATATTGTTTGTATCTACATATATAGATTTTTTATTATTGCATTTACACCTTGAAGGCATACATACACGCATTTGTCTCAAGTTGCGACAAGAGCCAGAGCAATTCATTCATTCTTTGTTTTCTCTGTCTGTCCTCAAGATCGGTCATTCATTATTTTTCTTTTGTCTCGTTATTCTGTCGCAGACGACACTGAATAAATTAGTTTCATCGATACCATTTATTTATTTCAACTTTCTTCTTTTTATCTTCAACACTCGAATAGAAAGATAAAATTGTACAAAAAAAAAATATGACACGTTATCATCAAATACGTACACACATAGACACGTTCCTTCGTACTCGACCTCATTAGATGGAGAAAAAGAAGAAGAAACAGCGTATACTTCTAATATCGTTTGTCCGTTCGCTCTTCTCCTCATTCTTTTCCCTCCATCGTACAATATAGGTATACAAAAATTCTCTCTTTCGATGCAGTAAATTAATGGTTGAAATCTTACGAGCCCTCACCGACGCCGCTGTTCGTCTGTATTATTTATTGTGTATCTGTCTGTTGCTTCTCTTTTCGTTTTTCTTCTCTCTCCCTTTCTCACACATAATTGACTTTCGTCTTATCTCTCTTCTTTTTTCGCTCAAACTCAGTCTCTCTCTCTTCCTTTCATTCTAGTTGTTTGTTCACTCTATTTCTGTTGTTAAAACGGCGGCAATAGTGACTACCACTATCTTAAGATAAATGCGAAACAACATGCATGAGACTTAATCCTCGATACATGTAAAAAAAAAGAGAAGATCACTGCTATTTATTTAGATTGGCGAATTCTTCTTCTTATTCTTCTGTAGCTCTCCTTTTCTCTTCTGTTGATTTTACTGTTAATACGTTTTTCGATTTTTATAAGAAAACAACAACAATAACAACGAGATATTTTCGAACATACACATACATCGCTCTCGACTCGAGTAAGTTCAAGATTTCTTATGTAATATTTACTCAGAAGTAAATAGATGGATATTGTGAACATAATTTGATAGTCTATGTATTCGCGTGTTATACTTTAATTATACATGTTCAACTGGCAGTAACTACACGATTGACCTGAATGTAAAACAAGAAAAAGAATAATGGGTCATAAAATCGATGAGAATACACGAGGTAATGATACGATTGTAGTGATACTATCGATTTAAAATAACATTTAATTTCATCCATTTCGCGTCGATAAAATTTGAACATTTACTACATTCATATGAATGCATTGGTAGGTCAAGATGATGCACGCGTTTTTAGTAGAAGAATAAGAACAACAAGACAATCAATTGAAGAGAGCAATTTTTATTGATCAAATACATAATCAACATTTTTATCTAATGAATCAAAGGTTACATTAAATCCTTTAGTATGTTCCAAAGAATGACAGAAATATGGCCTTCAACCCTCTTCGTTTTTACACACGATCACGTCTTGAGTGAGTTTCTTACCAAAAATATTTCACATTTTTCTTGTTTTATTCATTTGATTTCAACAATCGACTCATTCTTTTCTTTTTATTATTCATCAAACATTGTAAGATGTTTGCGACAAATCATAGGTGTATAGATGTGTGTCCCGAAACGAGTACTAGAAAAAATAACCGTCTCTCCTCTCCCTCTCTCGTTCGTGTAATAAAACTAAGCCAATCTGTATTTTCTTTCGCATGACGTTCAAGAATTTGTACACTTCTCTCCGGAGATACTAACACGTGCGTTTTATTCGAAAAATTATATCTTATGATCCTTTGCTGCTAACAATCAGTCGATCGACCGTCCACACGCAAATCTGGTCATGGTTACTTCGTGTTATGTCATATTTATTCATGTTCTACGCCCATTCTTTCTTCGTTGTCTTAGCTCATATAACGGAATACATATTCTATTCACTAAGTTTGTCTTTCAGCTCCTATTAATACTACAATTTGATATTAGTTAGAGAAGAAACATAATCTTGCAAAAGATGACCACGATAATGAATCACCGTTGTTTTTTTTTCTTCTGCTGAATTAAACAGTAGGACTGTTGACATGCATTGAATTTATTTTTCTTCTTCTTCTTCTTCTTTTCCTCCTCCAAGCTCCCTTTTTTCTTCTCTCTTTTCTATTCAGCCATTCGTTTTAGATAAACACACATATACATTGTGGACGACGACGGAGACGGTATCTCTATGTATAAAATATTGTAGAACAACAACGAATAAACTTGACTTGCAAATAGATCATATAAACAAAACTTGAACAATGTCACCAAAAGCCGTAAGTTGTTTGATTTTCTTATTCTTCCGGTGGATTTTTTACGCAAGATAAGAACAGTGTTTGAAGAAAGGAGAAGCTTTTGTGTTGCGGAGACTTTTGCTGAGTGAGAATACGTTGGTCATTATGTCGATTAATTAGATGAAATTGAATTTTCGATTTTCTTCCTTGTAAACTAGTTTTCATAGAACTGTGCGAATCAGTTTCAGGCACCAATGTCGATTGTGATGTGTTGACAAATGGATCGTTAGTTGGATGTGTTTTTGTCATGACTTGTAGTTGTAATCGAATATAAAGTTTCGTATTTGAAGAGCCTTTCAATGGATACGCTCGATTTATTGACCAATCTCTCTCTTGGAGGAGAGTTTTGATTGAAATTTCGATTGTGCCAATGAGATGGTTTTTGCTATTTGAATCGTTGATATTGATTTGTAGTAACGATTGCTCGGGATGAACGAGCATAAACATGAAACTTTTCATCCAACATGGATTGGTGGAATTTTTGATAATCGATGTTTTTTCTTCGTAATTATCAATTTTGATCGAACAAAATGGGTAGGGTTCAAGAGCTTTGCCATGCTGAGTTGATGGCAAGTGTTCAGCTCGTTCGATATAAACAATTAACAATGAGGTTGACAATGTATGAGAAATTTTTGCCAACATCGAATGGATATGTTCGACATTAATTCGTTGAATTTCTTGAAAATACTTCTGATTTGTCGACAGATAGAACCAATTCAGACGAATATGTATAGTCGAATTGGTTCTACCAGCTAGATCGTACCATTGATCGAGAAGATTGTTTTCATTTTTGATACTTTCAATAGGAATATTTATTGTGCCGATGTAATCATCCGTACCGAAGTCTGCATCGAATATGGATACCTATACTTTTCAAAAAATACGATCTGTGAGATATGGATTTCTCGTTAAAGGAGTGTCAACTTTCAATAGGTTAAGCTCATAGTAGTATACCTGAAGTTGTTGCGTGTTGGACTCTTCGACAGGAACTTCGAAAGTTTCATACCATTCGGGATTGTTGTGCCGTTGTGTATGTGTTTTGTATTTGTATTGTCCGATACTTATCGTAACATAGGCATCGATAGCATGTTTAGTTGGGATTAATGAATGATCGAGTTTGGGTAGATGTTTTGCCTCGATAATATCAATACGTAGTATTCCGTCGGGCCGAGGAAATCTCAGTTGATTAATATCGATTTCATTCATGAAAGCAACTATCAACCGGTTCGGAATAACAAAGCTCGATTGTAGAATTCGTTCCAATGTTAACATCAGTAGGTTGTGTAAGCCCGGTATTTCAATAATATTGGCAATATCTGTCAAATCGAAGTCGATGGTTGGTGTTCGTAGAAAAAAGACTTCCAAAGCACCAACGAACGGTAGTTTTGATACGATCGATTTGAGAATCAGTCGTAGTTCTCCGTGCAGATAAAGCGATTTGATACCAGCTTTGAAACTGTGATATCTCATTTTGATTTGCATATCGCCACCATAGAAGAATTCTGTGTCGAGAGTAATCTCATCGGATCGAATGTTTTCGGTATAGATTTTGATTCCACCTAAACGTGGTGGAAAATCGCCGAGATCGATACGTTCGAAGGAAAGACTGGATATCTGTTTTTTGATTTCGGGTTCGATAGTAGTTTTGACTAGCTGTTGTACATAGTCTGATATTGTTGGCCAAAGTTGGGCAATAAATTTGTTCAGCCATTCACATCGATCAAAATCAGGATAGGAGATATATGAAGGAAATTCATGCAAGCGTTTTTCCAGCGCTGGACGAACATCCGTTGTTAGTTCTTCAAAGAATTTTCGACGTTCAAGGTGTAGTAAATTCCATCGTCGTTCGATTGTTTGTACAAGGGCGAATATGATCAACCAAATAAGTGAAAAACCGTATCGACCAAGCAACCAGAGTAGAAATGAATAGACTAGACAGCGTAGAAAGATTTTCAATAAGTTGTAAATATCAAATAGGTTCGTTTTTAGATCATGCTGAACTGTTGTCTTGAATTTTTTTCGATTGGATTTTTTCATTTGAATGGAAATATTTTCGAAGAAAAATAAAAGCGCTTTGCTTTTTCTTTCTAGGTCAATGTACGAGTACTTACAATGGACTCGGAACTCGAGTTCGCTATTCAACCAAACACGACAGGCAAGCAATTGTTTGACCAAGTAAGTTCGATCTAGTAGAATGGGATAAATATAACGACAGGAAAGGGTCGAAACTACTTTCTATCGTTGGATGCAGACTGTTATTTCCGACTGTTCTTCTAACACGCGGAGAGTTCGTCTGCTAGAGTAAATTTCGAAGAGCTTTCTTTTCTGTTAACATTTCGACATTCAAATGTTTCTTCGTTAAATCTCTTCTACACACAAATTGCCAATATCGCATATTATTTTAGGTAGTGAAAACTATTGCCCTTCGTGAAATCTGGTTTTTTGGGCTTCAATACACAGATTCCAAAGATTTTCCGTGTTGGTTAAAATTAAACAAGAAAGTTCTAGGTCAAGATATCAAAAAGAACTCCTCTCAACCATTAACGTTTAAATTTCGTGCTCGCTTCTTTCCTGAAGAAGTGTCCGAAGAGCTCATTCAAGAAATAACTCAAGTAACAGAAGCCAATTCGATTCGCGAAAGCATTCACTGATCTCTTTTCTTTGATTAGAAACTTTTCTTTCTTCAAGTCAAAGAATCGATTCTCACGGACGAAGTCTATTGCCCACCGGAAACTTGTGTTCTTCTTGCATCATATGCAATGCAAGCCAAACATGGAGATTTTAACGAAGAAATACATCGATCAGGATCATTAGCGAATGAACGCCTCTTACCTAAACGTGTTATGGAACAATTTCAACTATCGTCAGAAGAATGGGAAAAGCGAGTAGTCAATTGGTGGAAGGAACATCGCGGAATGCTCAAGTAAAGAGTTTCGCTTGAGATGAATTCGACACAACGTATTGTATGTATCTTTTAGAGAAGAAGCAATGCTTGAATATCTGAAAATTGCTCAAGATCTGGAAATGTACGGTGTCAATTACTTTGATATTCGTAATAAAAAGGGCACGGAGCTCTACCTTGGCGTTGATGCTCTCGGCCTCAACATTTATGACAAACAAGACAAGTAAAACATCCGATAGACTTCTTTGTTTTCCAGTGAATCATCTTTCTCTGTTTAGACTAACCCCCAAAATTGGCTTTCCATGGAGCGAAATTCGAAATATTTCATTCAATGATAAAAAATTCGTGATTAAACCCATGGAGAAAAAATCACCCGATTTCATTTTCTATGCACCAAGACTTCGTATCAACCGACGAATTCTATCACTTTGCATGGGCAATCATGAATTATACATGCGTCGTCGAAAATCGGATTCTATCGAAGTTCAACAAATGAAAGCACAAGCCCAAGAAGAAAAACTAGCTCGTCTGCAAGAACGGTAGATTGTCCTTTTCGTGATTGTTGAGATCTATCGTTTGATTTCTCTCTAGAGAACGAATTCAAGCTGAAATCGATCGTCGTAAGCAAGCTGAACAAGAACGAGAAGCGATGAGAAGAAAAGTTGAAGATCTCGAACGAAATGCAGCGGACGCAAGACGAGGTGAATAGCGATTCTCACTTGTCTCAGCCTTTTAATTTTTCTTTAGAAAACTATCATGAAGATGTCTGACTAAGATGAAATGTGAGATGATACTTTTTGAAAAGACAAAGAGTCGTTGATTTCTGCCATCGGTTTTTCTTTATTTTCTTTCTTTGAATATTTGCTACTGATTTGTGTTCGGTTTTGTTTCTTGGTTAATTGCAATGGATTGTATATAATTTTGTTGATCTTTTAGCTTTGGAAGATCAAAGTCGAATCACGAAAGAATTGGAAGAAAAACGAAAACAAGCAGAAGAAGCTCAATTGCGTTTGAAACAAGAACGTGAAGAAGCGGAAAAAGAACATGAAAGAATGATGGAACGAGTTCGATATGAACAAGAAGAAAAAGATAAAATTGTATGTTGATGAATCGTTCGCAAATAATTTTATGTCGATGAATTCTTTCAGGTTCAAGAAATCGAAGAAGCTCGCCGATTAGCCGAACAAAAAGCTCTGGAAGCACAACAAAAAGAGAATGAAGCACGAGAGCTTGAAGAACAATTACGTGAAGCCAAAATGAGAGTAAGTTCGGTACTTTAAGTTCTTTCCGATTTGTTCATTGTGGATATTAAAAAACACGAATTTTCATTCGATTACAGAAACTGGTAATTGCAATAAGACATCGAAGCATTCTCTCTTCTCTCTGCATGAGAAATACTTGTTTACATACAAAAGGGTCTTCTCATTCTCCTTTCTTTTAGTATCGCCATAAAAAGCGAGGACATTCTCGTCCTTGGGTAGGCATTTAAAACATATCGGGAGAAGGAAAACGTTCACCACTATAACTCTAATCGATTTTTCGTTCAGAGACAGACCTTTCTCATCAATGTTCAACATTTTAGGTACTTCAAAGCCAACAACAGGCGCCATCAAACAATAACCATCATCATTATATGGAACATCCCGGCGAATATGGCAATCCTATCGAAGATGAAGAAAGTGATGAAGAAGATAACAGTACAACTCGTAATGGACGAGGTAATATCCGATTCTTTTTATATCCGAAGTCATCCTCTTTCGTTTTACAAGGTGTTGAACTTCGTACCAACGAATATGCTTCACGCCATGAAGAAAATCGTTTGACAGCTACGACAAAAGATCACAATATAAAGAGAAAACTTGAAGTAAACGAATTTTCTTTCGTTTCTATACATCAATTAACATGGATTACTTCTAGGCTCTGAAAGATGAACTGGGATCGGTTCAGAACTCGAACAAGGTCACTGATAATGATCGTTTACATCAACAAAACGTTGCGTCGGGTCGAGATAAATACAAGACATTGAAAATGATCCGACAGGGCAATACAAAAAAGCGTATCGACGAATTCGAATCTATGTAAAAATATCATCTGGAAATATATGTCTTATCATTCTCTCTTCGTCCGTTTTTTATTATTCTACCAATGATCATTCCATAAAGTTCATTTCGTTTCTCTTTTTTCTCCTCTCTTTTCTGCGTGCGTATTTGGGCTGCTGTTATTTTCTTTTCTTTCTGTGTTTTTTTCCTCTTTCTCTCGTTCTGTTTATTCTTCTGAGCTATAAGCAGCAAAAATCGAACAATCATATGATTATTATTATCATTATTATAAATATCATTCCAAAAAACCAAACTAAACCAAGTCGTCGTAACCGTTTGATTTCATTGATCGACCATCTTATTTGATATACTTCCCTTGTTGAGAACGTCTATTTAACTAAAAGCTATCTTGTATCTATTCTCGAAGAAGCAACAAAATCTCGTTTTTCTTCTTTTCCGTCTTTGAAAGTGTGCTTATGCATATGTATGTGTGTGTGTGTCTACTTAAGAAAGTTGAAATCTTCATCGTGTTTGTTGTTTCCTTTATTTCGTCTTATTCCTGTTTCTTTTTTTGTGGTCTATTAGTTCCTATTTTCCTTTGTCCTATTCTTGATCGATCTTGAAAATAAACACTCGCTCGCACACCTGAACACTATCTCATACTTAATGAAAGAATATCACACGACCTGATCATATGACAATGTCTGTTGAAGACTTATGAAGCATTCGATATGTTTGTAGATATTCATGTCCTCCAAAGCAGTGACTACTGCGACGACAGATGAGCCCTTCACAACTGTCCTTGTCTCTGCAATACCAAAGTCATTTCGTTCAGCCGATTTGAGAAACTTCTTTTCGTCGTTCGTTGAAACAAAAGCGTTTCGATGCTTCCATTTCCGCCATCGACCCATACCGCCATCATCAGAAACCACTATCAGTCCGTCTTACATATGCTTTATACAAGTGTATAATAAACGTTTGAATGAATTCATACGTCTATATCATCGAAAACATTGGATTAATCTACAAGGCAATTATTTATCAACACTTTGTCTGATTAGTAAAGTGACCAATGAAGGTAATGTTAGATGTAGCAAAATAGATAAAAGATCTTTTCCTGATATTTTCTTGTTTGTAGATCCGTCGATGATAAATGATTTGATTGAATTCAAACCACCGAAATATGTGTATCCTCAAGGTAATGTTGGAACGCCCACATCGTATTTTCTCGAGGAAATCAATGCATGTCGATTGCCACAAACAATCATTAGTACGTATTGAAATGACAAGAAATTGTCGATCTTCTTAATATATATCTGTATATAGAAAAACTAGCGCTAATATTTCCAAAATGTCGATCGAAGCGAAAGTATGGTTGTGTTGGCTTTGATTATGGTTCCATGATTGAACAAGATGATGATGATGATGATGATGATGAAGAACAAGAAAGTATTAGTGATATGGAATTAAAAACTGGACAAGGTCATGAGATTCTTTCCGAACAAGATAAGACTGCACTTGATAAACTCAATAAACAAAAAGTAACAAATTTTCCGTGTTCGTTCGAATAATACGTTCGTTAACTTTTAGGAAGAAAGAGAGCGTGGCAAGGATGACGATTTGACGTCTGTGGAAGATAAACGACTTGACGAAGAAGAAGATGAACTTGAAGAATGGGATCGACATGAAGCACAATATGATGATGTCACAAAGCAAGATCGAACATCTCCCTACTTTTTCGAACATAAAATCGAATTAAAATGGGAGAAAGGCGGCAGCGGTTTAGTGTTTTATACAGATGATGTGTTTTGGAAAGAACATGAAGGTCGAGATTTCGATAGTCTGGATATGGCTGATGATATCGATATCGACATGAGAATGTATGAGAAAAGTAGTGGTATGTGGACATTAGAAGCTAGAAAAAGAACAAGTCTTGGTTTTGTTTGTACATTTACTTGTGTAGGATCAGCCGATCGTGATGGAAATGAATTACAAAGTATACGTCGTGAGGAAGATTTGCGTGAAGGTCGAATATCAAACGAAACCAATGCCGAACATAAACGCATCGGTGTTTTTGAAAGACATACAAAGGTACTTTTTTTTCTCTTGCGTGCTTCTCTTCTAATCCTAAACCTATCGATTATAGGGCATTGGACGACGGTTACTGGAACGTGCCGGATGGCAAGATGGTGAGGGTCTGGGATCATCGGTCAAAGGTATGGCAGAGGCATTGACTGCCGAAGGTGGAAAATTATCTCAGAAAGATAAAACTGGCCTAGGATATACTGGCGAAAAGGTAGAACGAAATCCGTACAAGCGAATGGCTACTGCGAGCAGTAGTAGTAATAACAGACAACAGCAGCATGACATACATATCACAACAGTGTACGATGATCCAGAAGAAACTGACCCAGCAGCAGCATCGAATCGTCGATGGGAGCCAACGAGAAATAAAAATCGACCACGGAATGTGAAAAACGTGTTCGCTAAGCCATAAATATTATCGAATATTTTTGCTAATAAATTTTGCTACACAATTCAGCTCTGATGTTTAAAAATACTTTTATTTGTTTTATATGAAAACTTCTGTCAACCTTGTAAATCATCTAGGCCTTACTACATATATACAAGATAAAAAAAGAACGAACTGTACAAAACTTTCTCTTTTCGATCATCTCCTTTTCCGAAATTCTCAAGCTGGTTTGCTACGAAAGGATAACATGCGTATGGTTTATATGATATGTTAGATGTGAAAAAAAAGTAAACAAACAAAAGAACAAGTTCACCGGTGACAAAAGTAGTCAAGGTATCATTGAGACGCTGTTACTACCGATGAATGACGTTTGTATTTGAGTAGATCGAATAGACGACTCGTTAGACGAATACATCCAGCAAAGATATTCAATGGCACAATTGGCGCTTGTGTTGGCTGTAATTTAATACGTTCGTTAAAATTCACTGATGTTGCAGCGACGATAGCAAATGGAAATACAATCGAAAAGATACATTCATTAACAATGGCTGATTCAAAAAATTGTGTCGAAAGTACTGTTAATGGCAGACCGAAACCAAGGAAATATGGCCAAGATGATTCGATACGTTCAATACGCTGTTTAACGCTTAAATTCGCGTAGATCCATGCATATTCGAATGCATAAAACGAATAGAGTAAACACAAACACATATTACCAATGATTTTATTTAAAACCGGTATAGGTATGAGTAATATCAGTGTTGATTGAATAAGAAAGAAGATTTGCATTACTATACTGAAGAGAATATCACTGATCGATCGAGCCAGTGTCAATGCTGGTAAAGGACGATTATTCTTCGTTAATTTCTTGAAAACAACATCAGCTATATCACGAAACCAATAAGAATTCACAAATTTCGAGATGATAAATGCGGGAATAAGCCATAGCGAGTTAAATGTGTATGTTAGTATGTGTTGAATGATGATCAATGGTCGTGATGTTGACGAAGAATCCAAGCCAGCTAATGCGTAGAATAATCGACGAAAAACAGGTAAGAAAAGATAGTTAAAACAGAGCATGCCACAAAGAAGTATGCCGCCATTGAATAGACACAAGAGTGCCAGATTGGATTTAACACGCTTTGTATCGGATGAGGATGTTGACGACTGTTTCGGTTTTGGTTGATGCGGATGAAGTTTAGCGGCGTTCTTTTCTGTTGATTTCTTACTGAAATCTTCATCAATTGTTAAAACATTGAAAGCATTTCGAACGGCATCGTATAAACCTCGACGAAATAAATCAGTGTACGATGAAAGACGGGAGGTCATATCTGAAAGTAAAACATCGACGCAATATATATATATATATATGTTATATACTAGATACGTAACCGATGTACATCATCGGTATTCGATAAGACTGTCGTGTGAGTACGCTCTTCAACAATATCACATGACATCACTGGAAGAAAATGTGAGATCATAGATTCTAGTTGGTATTTTCCAGTAGTTATCAGATCATATTTTTTATTTTAAAGAATATAGACCTAAGGCAACAGGGTGAATGAATATTAGGTAGATACGCGCATACGCACTCGTAGACGATTGCCTATTGGTTACTTAGCCTCCAATAGAACTTTATCGATAGATTTGACTTTTTATTGATCTATGCGATCGAAGAATTGTTTTAAATAATGAATTTTCTTTCGAAGAAAGTTTTCTCACTTAAATAAATTTTCTAACGACAAGTGACCTCTTCGTGTTTGTCTAGCAACATGGTAGCTACATGTAATAAAGAATCTGTGACAACCAAACTAAAAGATTTTGATTTCTAACAAATCACGAAACGAGACAAAATGCCTGGTCTTATTCGTTTGAAACAATCAGGTGGACTTGCTCCATTAGAAACGAACAATGGAGTGGCACAGAGTCTCATCTACCGAGATTCTAACGCGCGAGTTACATGGGAAGGTGTTGAAACGTACAAACGATGTATTTATCGTAATTGGGTGCCAGGCGAAGAATATACGGAGGTACTAACATTTAAGAATCTGTCTGGAAAAAATATCACATTCACCTACGAAGTGCCGAAAACACAATATTTCCGAACGGTTTATCCTCGACGCTTAACATTGAGTCAAGGTAGGTCGATTATGAATACAAGTGTTCAATGTTTCTTTTAACTATCTTAATTCGATTATAGGCGTGACATTTAGTTTACCAATTCAATTTAGTCCTTTAGAAAAAATTCCTTACGTCGATGAACTGGTTGTTTATATTAATCAAACAGCGCGTCGGATCGCTCTTGCTGGCCTTTTACCGCAATATCGTCTAAGTGTTGAACCAAAAGAGATTAACTTTGGTTACTGTGCTGTACAAGACGTACAAACTCGTTCATTCAAATTACGTAATACAGGTGATCTAGAAACAAGTATCGAATGGAGTTTCAATGAACCATTCATCATTGAACCACGTGAATGTGTCATACCTGTGGGCGGAATGCAAACATTTACTTGTTCATTTCAACCACAATGGGCATTGATCTATGTTGGCACAGCGACATGCATCTATGGAAATGATTCTGTGTGTGAACTAAACTTACATGGTACTGGCAAATTTCCTCATATTGTTGTTCAATCTGCTGATGACGGTTGTGACGAGAATACTGGCAATATTTTAGTACGTTTTGGAGATATGCCAATGAACGGTTCATTGAAACGTGACCTGATTCTAATTAATCAATCAGCATTTCGTGTGCCGTTTCGCATAGAATCTCTGCCAGGTGTGGCTAAGTTCGACACAGCTTTTCGTTTTAGTAAAACCGAAGGAGTAGTGGAAGCTGGAAAACAACAAGTGATTGCTGTTAAATTTCAACCAAAAGCATGCGAGCAGATTTATAAAGACTATTTTAATGTCACTACACAACATGGAAATCTGACAGCAGCTGTAGTCGAGTGCAGTGGAAAAGCGATAGAAAACGTGGTTGAAATCAATCTTCAAAAGCTCAACTTTGGACAAGTTTTAACAGTAATGACTTGTTTGCGAATTTTCGAATTCGATATTATCTTCGAATGTATTTTAGAACAACAAATCAAGTCGAGTTATTGAAATATGGAATCAAAAAGGAGCAACGCCTGCCCGTTTTCAGATCGACACATCTTCAGACAGTCCGTTTCAATTCTCCACTCAAAATGGTATTTTACCAGGTGATGGAACAAAACAAACGATTGTCGTTACATTTGCACCTGTACATCCGATGGGCTACTACAAAGTTGTTCCGATTCTCATCGAATATCAGTCCCCTATTCTTCTCGAACTAGTTGGTACGTGCCATTCTGATACAGGCAAACCACCCGTACTCAATGAACGTTATGTATCGAATTTCAAACGGCATATCGCCCGTCATTTAGCATTGTATCCGTTCGAAATGTATAGTGATTATCTACAACGAGGAAAACTAACTTTAGATGAATACGGTTCACTCGTTGAAGTATCTGATTCGCCAATCAGTAATGATAGTAAAGCAATCAAAGATGAACGGGAATATCTCGTTCTACCCTTATCCAATCCGTTGAAAGATAATTATTCGTATTGGTTCTCGAATGAAGATAATACCAGATTCGAATACGTGACATTAAGCGAACCGTATTTCATTTTTGACCATTGCTTATTGGATACTCAGAACGAATGGCAGCAAAGTTTAACTGTTACAAACATCACACGTGGAAAATTAACGCTCGTGTGGCTTTCAACAGATTCGGTCAACTTTTCGATATCACCAACCGAAGCAGAAATTCTGCCTCTAAAATCCACAGCATTCCGGATTATATTTCGACCGACAGTCGTTGATACATTCTATACGAAACGGTTCGAAGGTTATGTTTCTTACAAAAACCAACGTGATTTTACACTCGTACCTGACTATGGCATCGCATTACCTGTACAACTAGACATCAATTGTATTGGTGATACACTACGAACGAATCATGAAATTGTTCCATCGTACCAATTTGATCGCGATATTATTATCTTTCCACCAATTGGCGAACAAGCATCAATTTATCAAACGTTAACATTAACGAATAATGGTACAACTCCATTAATCTATCGTTTTCTTTCGACAGTCGATGAATTCGTCAGTCAGTTCACATTCAAACCATCCAATGGTTGTATTAAACAGGGTGACTATGCGATAATAATTGTTCGTTACAAACCTAGCCGTTTTAATTCAAATACTGATATTCAACAAGAACGCATCACTGTTCGCTTGAATGAACGCGAGAAATTTGATAAAATTCTGCATGTTTTTGCTACACAAGACAAAGCTCGATTGTTCATACCTAACAATGGTAATATTCATGCATTGACAACGTGTGTTGGCTTGAGTTCGGAAACGCATATTCAATTAAAATCATTAACGCGCTCTCCATTAGAATTCAGTTGGACATTAGATAAAAATATTCCGTTGATACGTATTGAGCCATCGAATGGTTCGTTTCAACCGTACGAAGAGAAAGATTTTCTTGTTACTTATTCGCCAACTGAAGAGGGCAAGATCTCCATGGCTGCGAAATTATCCTGTTGGATTGGTGATCGATCTAAGCAAGGTGCCGAAGCATATCATGTGACCATTCACGCGTCGACACGGGAGGGCTTTCTTCGTCCTAGCGAAGCACACCATGATATCGGTCCAGTTGCATTGGGAACATCAACTACGTATGATCTCTATTTTACCAACGGTGGTGATTGTTTACTTCGTTATCGTCTCTATGTCAAACAAACAGTATCAAATAACAGTAAATCGAACGACGAAGATGAAGAATCTATAATCGAATTTCTTTCCGATCGTGATGGACAAGGTGAAATTGATGGCAAAGCAAAAGTTTGTGTTCCATGCCGCATCCATCCATTCAGTCGATCAAACTATCAGCTAGATTTTTACTACGATTTACTAAATGACAATAATCAAAGTTTAAGCGAGCACAGCCATCATTTGTGTACATTAACTGTACATGGTGTTTATCCACATTTAGCATTTATTGATATTCTTGGCTCACAACAAGCAGCAACATTGAGCAAAGGTCTACTATCGCAAGCGTTCAACTTAACGAAAATCAATGCTCTATTAGCAAAAGAGCCAACTGCTGAAGAATTGACTTATGCGATTAATTCTCATAGTGAACATATGAACGATGTATGCACGAAAAGCAAATCGAAAAATGAACCATCGCCTGTGCCATCCGATGATCAACCAGAAGCCATTGTTTTCAACTTTAATGCAGCACCCATTGGTTCTCCTTCATCAGAAGTCCATTTACTACTCGAAAATTGCAGTGATCTCGATACAACATGGGCATTCCTGTTTCCCAAAGATCTTCAAATCGAACTAGAATACTGGTCTCGAACAGGAGAATTTTCTGAAGAAGAATTGAACGATATGAAATTACAAGATAATAAGATATTCAATATTACACCAAGAAAAGGTTTTCTGAAGAAAGGTGAAAATGCCACGGTGACAATTTCTTATAAGCATATCTTTGCCGGCCAACATACATTACCAGCTATCTTTAAAGTTGGTCGAAGTCGAAAAATTATGCTGAATTTAGTTGGCATCAGTGTCGAGCCTGAAGAAGTTTACATTCAATTTTATTCAACTTTACATCATCTGTTACCGGTAGAATTAGGAGCACAAGGAGCACCTGTACAACAATACGAACTATACAATGGTGGAACCGTTCCTATTCATTTCCAGGTAGGACCATTCGTCTGAGAGATTAAGAGAAATGATAGGTTATTCTTTGTATCTTGTAGGTTGACATGAGTCAATTAGAACAAATTTCTGTTGCAAACTATGGTTTTTGGGTGCTTGATTGTTTGACACCTGAAGGAATTATAGCTCCTAATAAAAGTTTTATTACTCAATGGGTCTTTAATCCACTCGAAGCACGTGAATATACCTTTAACATCAAAATTGATCTGGAAAATTGTGATCCCGCTCGGATCACATTTGTGGGCCACGGTTTCGACAAACGGAATATTCCGCTCGATATCGCCAAATCTCTTGCAACTCATTTGGAAACAACAAAACAACTGAACTTGAATGAACGTCTGGCATCATTAACAGCTGATCGTATGAACTTTGGTAATTTACCATTATTTACTAAACAACGTCATATCACATTTTTGAAAAATCAATCAAACAGAGATGCAATCTCATTTATTTGGCATGTCACAAATCCTGAACAGGTTCGACATATTCGCATACAACCAGGTTTGCTATCTCTTCTTTGTTGTACTCATTCATAATCTTTTGTTTCTGTGGGCAGTTCGAGGCAAAATCCAACCACGTCAATCAATGCCCATCAAAGTTACATTTATGGCGATCGAAGCACCTGCTTTTCATGATATCGATCTCGTGTGTGAAATATATAACGAAACAACCTTGGAACAATACAATCAGGAGGTGAAGAAATGGGAAGCTGGCATTCAACAGAGATGGGAACATTTGGAAATTGACGATGAAGAATACGAACGATGTTTACGTAGTGGTGTTATTGACGAAAATGAAAAAGCACCACCGCCGAGAAGTCGATCGTTACAAGGCTCAACATTGGAAATGTGTCAAACATTGCCGCCAGTGATTGTTAATTATGAACTTGAAGAGACCAATCTTGATCGTGCAAGACGTCAACGTGCACTTATGAAAAAACAAATGAATATGCGACCACAGATGCCTGCGCCTGAATTGTTACATTTAGCTTTTACAGCACGTACTTTAGTTTATAATGAATATGTCGATCTCTGTAGTGATACGAGTCAATTGGAAAAATTCTTTATCGACACATGTCTAGGTACGAGATTCTGTTTCTCTTGCAAATTTTATTTGAGCGCAACGATGGTTCTCTTTTAGGTGGTGATTATCAGAATGCAAATCTGAAGAAACGTTCGAAATTGATCGATGAAAACGATGCATCCGATGTTGCCAGCGATGATAGATTACTAGTTAAAAATGAAGAAGCTGATTTACTACGAACAACCTTATCTGATTTACTACGAAATCTTCTTTGTGATCGCGTTTTCGCCGACACATTACCTGAAATGATCGCCGAATCGGTTCCTTTCTTTGCACAATTACAGTTTACTTCGCCATCAAAGACAGATAACGAACAACGACCTGCTAGTGGATCATCGAAAGACGAAATCAATGTTGTCGAAGGTGAACAGAGTCTGGTTTGGTCAAGTGTTGATCAAGAACAAATACCTATGCTTTCAAAAACGCCGCACTCGATTGTATCTCAACCCAAACGTCTTCTCTCAACATCGTCATCGTCCTTATCTGATCTCGAACAAAAGCAAACTTCTGCTACATCTCCGCATATATCCTACAATCCTAATGTACGATCGTTAACCGAAGATATTCTGGAAAATACCTTGTGGAATATTTTACAAGAAGCGTACCACAGCGAATTCAGTTTAACTTCTCGGCCACGTTTAATTGCTTTGCCACCGAAACGTCAATCACCTGTGGTACCACGAGTTCATCTTCAACAAATGGACTCGAATCAACCGAATTTCACAGCACCACCACCGACACTCCCTCCTCCTCTCATCATGACCGAAGCGTTCGATTAACAGTGATTGTATTTAGCAACGTTGCTTTTTCGTTTTCTTTTCGATTCATTATAAAACTATTCTTTCTTCTTTTTTCGCTTTAAATAAAAACAGAAGAAAACTTTTTCTATTAAAACATTCGAAATTCCTCTTCGTGTAAATTGTGCCTTGATACTCGAATCGGCTCTTCCGCTTGGCTAAGTGATGACGGATCTAATGGATCTTTTTTCGCTGGCTTATCTGATCAATACACGTAGAAAAAGATCATACGAAAGAAATCAATCAACTCACATGGTACACTATTCGAATTTTCTGTCTGATGATAAATCTTAACGAAATTCACACTATCAAAGAACGGATGATTTTGAATGTCTTTATTTCCATTGGCCATGCACCCAAGTCGCGTACTAACATCAATAACGAGAATTTTCTTGATTAGATCAGCTAACTCATTCGAAAATGATGATGGACACGTATAACGCTGATTGACAATTGCTCTTTTGGGTGTAAATACATTCACATTCGCACGCGAAAGTGAAAAGATCGTTGGAGACTTACTCATATAATTGAATATGATCCTTTCCAGAGAAGGGTGGTTGACCGGCAGCCATTTCATAACAGAGAACTGCGAATGTCCACCTTAAATCGAATAATCAGAGCAGATCGGAACGATTTTCGTTGATATTGCATACCAATCGACTGACTTCCCGTAACCTTTGTGTTTAATTATTTCCGGCTATCGAAAAGAGTGATAATCACACTTTTATTCTCGAATAGAGAGGTCGTTGCTTTACTGGCAAGTAATCCGGTGTACCACATAGTGTGTACGTTCGGCCAGGAACATGTTTAGCAAAACCGAAGTCTGTCACTTTCAGATACCCATTGTCTGCTATCAAGATGTTTTCTGGTCTAAAAGAAACTCACTCATCGAACTTATCGACATTCTAATCAGTTTACTTCAAATCACGATATCTAAAACAGAGAAAACATGAAATTTCAATGTTTGAAAACAACGGCATAAATACTTACAGTACATCAAAATGATGTAAATATTCAAAGACAAGAAATATTTGAGCAGCATAAAATTTGACATGTTTTTCATTGAACTTTCCCGTATGTCTCAAATAAGTAAATAAATCACCGCCTAAATTAAAGCGCATCGAGTTCATCTGTTTGAAATTCCTCTGCTGATCTCTACCACTGATGTATTCCAACGACAAGTAGATAAATGAATTATCTTTAAACGAGAAAAAATATCGAACTGTATTTGGATGTTGTAAACAATACAACACTCGACGTTCATTCAATGTATGATCCAGTTGTTTATACCGAACTAATTTTCGTTTGTCCATAATCTTAATCGCATAGAATTTATTTCCCTCCATTTTGTTATGACTGTCCATTTTCAGTAATGCCAATACAACTCGACCGAACGAGCCTCGGCCAAGTGTACGAATTAATTGAAATTTATCCAACGACAACGTAGCATCACACGGTGATACACGAGACCAACGTTGTTTGAAATGATCGGTTAGTTCTGTATCTTCATTTGCACTGGCATAGGAAATATATTGATAGAGTTCATTTTTGGCACCACGAACTAATGATGAGGACATTCGCAAAACAATTTAATTCAAAAAAAGATTCATTCATCGAGATAATACGAATTTCGTAGATAGACCGGGCGCCTTTTTCGATCCGATTTGACTCATCAGATATGTTTAGATGCACTTGAAAATTCTAGTGCATATAAACAATTGAAGAGCAAAGCTTGTCCTGAAGTATTTAAACACTTTGAACAATATGAGTGTCTTTGTAAGATAAAATAAATAACTGCATGCTCATTGTTTCGCTGATTTAAATCTTTTTCAATCAGAACTTCATTGGCACAAATTTTTATTGACAGTCTAATTGAACTTGAGCAAAAAATAACATTTTTCAAGACATGTGGATGCTCAACAAGAAAAGTTTTCAGCTAAGTTAGATCGAAAATCGCTTGACATTTTTTCATTAGCACCAAAGTCAATCAAAAGCGTAAATGTGATCGACAAGAATCTTTACAAGACATTATCTAGAAGCCTGTTATACAAATTATTTTATCCGAGAGAGTTCTGTGCGAATCGGAGAAATTGTGATGAAGAGATGAACAACCTTCACAATTCCTCTTACTATTTGTCAAGTGAAGCTGAATAAAGTTACCTAATCTTATTGATTCACTATTGGCACAGTTCAATTGAAAAAAGTGATTTGCGACAGAACATATCACATTCTCTAAGATTTCTTCTCTGCCATTCATGTTCTGCTATCATTTGCAGAAGTTTCTCTTTCGAATCTTTCATTTATTAATGATAACTTCTTATCATCATCTCTATTCCCTTTTTCTCTTCGTTAAAATGTGTTGTTCTCACCCTACTTGTTCTCTTTTTAAAACACTAATTTGGCTTTTTTTGCGTACTTCAATGACAGCACGCAGTATCGGAAAGTTTCAAATTTCTTTGCAACGTCTACAACTCCAATCAACAAGTACAATCCTATTTCTTTTTCTTGTGTCCTCGATTCCCATTCACTAATCTACACTCACTATTTTAAAACGTTTTCATGAACAATCTCCTGCTAATGTTAAGTTTTTTTTATCAACAAATTAAACTACACTAACAATAATGACGTGTTACTAAAGAAACAATAAAAGATGTTTATTGGAAACGAAAACGACCCAAGATAACAGTATATATTTCCTCTTCTCATTTTCTCTTTTCACTAGATCAGAATACAATCAGTTGAATTTCACACGCACACTTATATATATACATAACCTCAAGTCTTCTGCTTCCATAGTAAAACGAACAACAGTTACAAATCAAATGCTATGATCAGTTTACGTTGTGTTAGACCAACATCAGAATGAAAGAATAAGAAAAAAAGTAAACGAAGGTAGCAAGAATACATCATCAAGAATAGGTCAAGACGTTTAGTGGAAGAGACAATTGAATAAGCACATAGTTCGTAATGAGACGAACAAATCGCGTCGAACCGGTCAACGCCGGTAATGATGCAAATGATTTAGCACGAGCAACCATGACGACAACAACACGCATGGAATTTGTTCGACGAGTTCAAGTACTTCCAATGGTACGTAAACGTAAACACTCGATCTTAAGTCTTAAATTTAATTGTTGCATGTCGACGAGGATTTTCTTCTTCTTACTCATTTTCAACTGATTATGCGGAAGAGAAGGATCGAATAAAAAGGAAAAGAAAAGATTGACTACTAGTAGTTGAACAAGTAATCATATTGGAAATTTGCTCTTCATAAACAAGTATTTTTACAGGAACAAGCAGTTGCTCAATTGCATGGCGATCTGAATCAATCACTTGCCGGCGAAGCAACGATCTCGCCTAGGATTTGGACTGGAATGCAGCGTCCCGCAACACCCATAGCTATCAGGTATTGCCTTACATTGAAATTACCGAAAAACAAGTCATTGACTGAGTTTTCATTATGAAAGAGGTACTCGTCGAGCAATCTGGGTTATCGGTTGTCTATTTATTACAGTTGGTCTACTTGCTCTTTTTGCTTTAATTGTCGGTTTAACGATTGCCTTTGGGAGTTTGTAGTTTTTAATCAAAGATTTCAGTCAAGTAATTGCTTTTCTTCATTTTTATAGCAACGAATGCAATCGGCGAAAGTGGCATCGAAAGTTTGTACACTTTTCTCTATTCGGATACCGAATGAATAATTGTACATTATTGTATATATTAGGATATGATGTCGGTGATTTACACTACGGAGTCGACAATGTGGATAGTGAGAAATTTCCATCCAACACATATCTGTCTAATGATAATAAAATTGCGGTTCAAAAATATGTTTGTCAATTCAAGTTAGATAGTTATACTGAATGTAGATCATTTCTTTTAGTTTGCAGATCAATTTATCAATGAGTCTGGCTATCGCGGTCTTTTTATCGATGGAGTACTTGTGCAACAACAATCTGGAAGTAGTCGACGACGAAGGTAAATCTTTCGGATGACTCATTAAAAATTCCAATTTCTTGCTTGTCTAATTAAGAGATGCATCGTGCGATGCCATTTTTGTTGTTCGAAATATTCAGGTATATTTCGATTATTGTTCGACGTGTGCTGGTTCGCGCAATCTGGCCTTACGTCGTGCACTTTCAAATATAACGGCCTTTCAGCAACCTCTGGAACTACTATTGAACAGTGCTGGTCAAGCGAAAGTGGCAACAGAAATCTGTTCTGTCCCAACGATGTCTCGTTTAAGTAAGCTTCGTTATTACAGAGGATTTGGAAGCCGGAGTAACATATCGTATTGTTTACATTCAGTTATACCAGTACAATTAAGTATATTACAAGCTGAAAGGATCAATTCAAGTCTCATACATACTACTACTACTACATACTCTCCCACAACTGTAACACAAACGACTTCTTCCACCTACACTTCAAGTATACGACGATCGTCTGGTCGTTCGACAAGTGTATTAACATCGCGAGGTGTTACTACGCAAAAAGTAACGTCGATGAGAAAAATAACAACGACAACGACAACGACTACTGTCGCACCGATTGAAACAACAATGGCTGATGATACTACGACAGGTATACATACAGTAACATCAGCAGGAGTAACCGATTCTATATTAACGACGGAATCGACAGTTACCGAAAGAGTGACCATGCAACAAACAGATGTACCTACGACACGGAGTGAAATCGACACGACAACAGCAGAGCAATCGGATGATGTAGTAACAACTGAAGAAGTAGAGTCTACATCACCATCATCGTCATCGTCGTCGACTGAAGGACCTGAAGATTCTACATATACGATGGAATTAACGTCGTTCTCAACGGATACTGCAACAGTCGATACAGATACAACGTCAGCGTATGAAGAGATGATTTCAACATCTACTCTTGACCTCGTGAAAAATATCACAACCACTGATGAAACTGTAACGACTTCTATTGATAATTCTACTGAAATGACTGATACTACGACGCTCGATTTATCAACAGTAAACGATACTACAACAGAATCTGATTCACTCGAAACGACAACTAATATCGCACAAACAGATTTGGAGACGAATTCAACACTGGAAATGCTATCAACCACTGTTTTTGATGACAACTCGACAACGTACGAAGACGTCACTGACCTAACAACGGAAATGGAATCTAGTACAATATATAGTTACACAGAAGAAACAACGTCCCTACCTGAACATGTTCCAACGACCATGAAACCGACGACTAGTTATTCGCGTTTAACATCTAAGAAGATTGTACCATATAAACCATCATTGTCTACTAGTGGTAGACGATATACATCAGCCCAACAAACGACTCCATCTGCAATTACGATGTCATCGGGAAAACCAGGCCGCACACGAAAACAAACATACTATTCCACACTCTTTACTTCGCCTATGATAACATCTACAAATACCTATCGACTAACAACGGATAAACGACGTGGACGTCTGACTACTGCTAGTGCTTCGATTACATCAGCGAAAGCAGGACGTACACAGAAGCAGACATACTATTCAACAGCAACTACATCAGTCACTGCACCGTCTACGAACACCTATCGACCGACAGTAGATAAACGACAGGGACGTCTGACTACAGTTGCAACTCCAGTAACATCAATTAAACCAGGCCGTACACAGAAGCAAACGTACTACTCAGCACTTCTTACCTCACCGGCTATAACATCTGCAAATACTTATCGACAAACAACGGATAAACGACGTGGACGTCTCACTACTGCTGGTGCTTCGATTACATCAGCAAAAGCAGGACGTACACCAAAACAAACATACTACTCAACACTCTTTACTTCACCTATTGTAACATCTACAATCAATTACCAGTCGACGACTAACAAACGACGAGGACGTTGGACAACTGCGAAGACCTCATTCGCAACCACCGGCCAAACAAGTGAGTTTTTTATATGAAGCTTTTTACCACAAGACTCGATATTTTCATACTAGATACTCGAGTTTACACGACGGTGACACTTCCAGTGACTACAGCAACTCGGCAACGCGGTCGATCCAAAGCTACAATCGGCACATCGAAACAAACAAGTACGAATATCTTTGACTTAAAACTATACGAATCTTTATTTGTCTCTAGCCTACTATCCAACAACGATGACTACAACCTATAAAACAACAGTTCTGCCGACAACTACTACAACTCAAGATTACACATCCATAGCAAGTACAGAAATAATAGTTACGGGTATGTTCTTTTTGCAAATATTACTCTCTTTTATACGGTTGATCTATTTTTAGATTCAACGTCTGCAACAGGTACAAATACGGAACTACCGATTGATCTTGAGCAAACATCGACCGCATCAAATGAAGAACTTAGTACTGAATCATTATCGTTAGAAGATTTAGCATCTACAGATGGAACGTATACAACAACTCCAAAAATCAGCACAACAACCACAAAGATCGTAAGTACTTCTGGCATGATAAACACGCTTAGTTTGCTTGATAACACAACTGAAGAACAACGCTTGCATTCATTAATCTTTACTACTACTACTACTACTACTATATCATTCACAAATGCTTACATAGAAAGTAGTTCTATCACTTCTGCGTCTACAGCTGATGTATCGAGAAGATCAACAGAACTATTGAATACATTATTTGACATATCCGCATCAACAGTACGTTCAAGTAAAATATCAACTGAAGATCATTCGTCTTACTCAAATTCAGAACTGTATGAACGCCCAACAGCTTTCACAGCCGTCAACAGTGAGAATGATCAAAACTCTGTAACTGCATCACATACCATCATACAGTCGACTACGGAATCATTATTTTTTGCTGATCCATCAACTACCGGAACATCGAGTACGTCACTACAATCGTCGACAATGGCGTACAGTGCATCTCATTCATCAACTGGAATTGTTTCTCTGGCTAGTAGTGAATCCTCAGCGCAGAAATCATCAACCAGTACTATTTCGGCCATTGAAACGAATACAGTTCCAGTAAATAGTATCTCTCGCTCAGACTTATTTACGTATGAATTTGAGACAACTACCGATCTAATAACTAACTCACATTTATTAACACATATTACTAATGCTGTTATCAATGATTATGCTTCTCTTACAACTAACATCGATCAAACATCATCTTCGACAATTCACTCATTGACATCGGACATATTTCAGGATAAACAAACTACTGGTCAGATATCCACAGCTTCTTTGACGACAGTAGATTCTAGTAAAAGCTCTCCACCGACATCACCACCAACGAACGACGTTCATCTTGAAACCAATATAATTACGACCGATGGTTATCATCTGGATTCTATAAGCACACAGTCTATCTCAGAAACATCTAAAGATCTCACCGTTGACAATGATTTGCCCACAGTTGTTGAGCAGCATTCAACTCCAGCCCATCATTCGTCATCATCCAACATAGAAAATTCAGATAAAATGACAACCGGCAACAACTATCCAACGGTGTCGGAGAGAACTATCGAAAATTCGAATACCAATACAATGAAAGCAGTGGAACAAACAAGTGACATAATCCTGACTACCATAAACATCGACGATAATTTTCTCATATCAGATACATCTTTAGTATCAGTGTCCACAGATCGTTCCATTCAGGCGAGTGTACTGGCCACATCGTCAGCAATTTCATCAATTACTACACCTCTAACTAACGACATTGACAATATTCCGCATACAACGGTGACGGATACATCTCGTAATACGTCTATCGTGCCTGACGACTCAAAAACCGACTTAACTACCGCAGATAATACCATTGCCACTTCGCCCACATCTCTTTTTCCGTCTACCAATCTACCGAATGACTCCAGTTCAAAAGAATCGTCCACCGTCTATATTGATGCTATAACGTCTAAGGCAAATAATGACATATCCACTGCCACCATGATTATAACCACCGCGAATGAGGCTTCCACGCCTACCAAGAAATCCTCTTCCGTCGATGCTACCACTGGTACAGCAGAATCCATAATCAATCATTCAGTCACTGCCGTTCCAACCGACGCTGATGCCGCTTTAATGACAACTGTCGATAGTAGCGCCAAAACTTCACCACTATCTCGCCCTCAATCAACTGACTCACAAGATGAAGCCACTTCCACTGAAACATCCAGTTTAACTACCAACACAAGTACAGTATTCAACGAAATCAATCCAATCCCGTTTTCTACTATAGAAGAAAACGGTATTCAATCATCTACCGCTCATGTTGACGATGCAACAGCCATCAACGACGCTTCATCACACCACGAGAAACTATTTTCCACCGATTCTACTGTCCTGTCGGTAAAATCGACAACGCACTCTTCTTCCACTTCAACTGCTACTGACCATGAGAATATTGCAGTAACAACTGACTTCAAGTCTACCGATCTGTCCAATATGTCAAGTTCAACTCAACCATCTACTATAACTCCAAGTACCACTGAAGCTACTTCAACCACAAGAGAACATACCACCACACCATCATCTACCATTCACATCCAGGATGTAACCACGCAAAAAGAGGCTACCTCACTCCATGGAGAATCATCCTCGAGGGGTTCTACCGTTATCGTAGTACAATCGACGACAGAACTCTCTCCTATTTCATATTTAACTGACGCCAAGGGCGCTATGTTGAGAACTATGGATATTAGAAGTACCAGTGCAGTCACAACTAATTCAGAATCCACCGATTTATTCATCACAACTCGAACTGATATCGGAACATCCAGTGAAGCTGCTTCAGCCACACCATCAACCACAGACGAAAGCAGCGCTATTCGATCATCTACCGCTCATGCTCACGACACTACATCCAGGAACGACGGTTCATCCCACCCCGAGAAAATCTTTTCTACTGATTCCACTGTTGTACCGGTGAAGTCCACGACGGGCTCTTCTACTTCACCTTCTAATGACAATGAGGATATTCCAGTAACAACTGACAACCACTCTACCGATCTGTCGAACAGGGCAACTTCAGCTGGAACGCCTACTGTAACTCGAACTAGCAGTGAAGCTGCTTCAGCCACCTCATCAACGACAGAAGAAAGCAGCGCTATTCGATCATCTACCGCGCATGTTGACGATACAACAGCCATTAACCAGGCTTCATCACACTACGAGAAGTTGTTTTCCACTGATTCTACTGTTGTACCGGTGAAGTCGACGACGGACTCTTCTTCTACTCGAACTGCTAGTGACAATGAGGATATTGCAGTGACAGCCCACTTCCAGTCTAGCGATCTGCCGAGCACACCAACTTCAGCTGAGACATCTACTGTAACTCGAACTAGCAATGAAGCTGCTTCAACCACAAGAGAAAATCTCACTACTGAATCATCTACCATTCACATCCAGGATGTAACCACTGAAAATGATGCTGTATCACTCCACAGAGAATCATCCTCGATCGATTCTACCGTTAACGTAGTGCAAACGACAACTGAACGCTCTCCTGCTTCATATTTAACAGACGCCAAGGACGCTATGCTCAGAACTACGGATATTAGGAGTGCCAGTGCAGTCACAACTAATTCAGAATCCACCGATTTATCCGTCACAACTCGAACTGATATTGGAACATCCAGTGAAGCTGCTGCAGCCGCACCATCGACCAGAGAAGAAGACATGCCTATTCGATCATCTACCGCTCATATTGACGATACAACACCAATGAACCACGCTTCATCACACCACGAGAAACTGTTTGCCATTGATTCTACTGTGGTGTCGGTACGATCGACGACGGACTCTTCTTCTGCTCGAATCGCTAATGATAATGAGAATATTGCAGTAACAACTGACTTCAAGTCTAGCGATCTGCCGAACACAACAACTTCAGCTGAGACGTCTACTGCAACTCGAAGTAGCACTGCAGCTGCTACAACCACCAGAGAAAGCCTTGCTATTCAATCTACTATCATTCAGATCCGGGATGTAACCACGCAAAATGATGCTACATCACTCCACCAAGAATCATCCTCGATCGATTCAACCGTTGTCATGGTGCAAACGACAACTGAACGCTCTGCTACTTCACATTCAACAGACTCCAAAGACCCTATGCTGAGAACTACAGATATTAGGAGTACAAGTGCAGTCACAACTAATTTAGAATCTACCGATTTATTCATCACAACTCGAACTGATATTGGTACATCTAGTGAAACTGGTTCAGCCACACCATTCACGACACAAGAACGCATGGCTGTTGAACCATCTACCGCGCATGTTGATGATACAACACTAGTGAACCACGCTTCATCCCACCACGAGAAACTATTTTCCGATGATTCTACTGTTGTACCGGTGAAGTCGACGGCGCACCCTTCTACCACTTCAACTGCTAATGACAATGAAGATACTGCAGTAACAGCAAACTTCCGGCCTACCGACGTGCCGAATATGTCAAGTTCGACTCAAACGTCTACTGTAACTCGAACTGGCAGTGAAGCTGCTTCAGCCACATCATCAACAACAGCGGAACAGATCCCAGTTCGATCATCTACCGCTCATATTGACGATACAACAGCCATTAACCACGCTTCATCACACGACGACAAGCTATTTTCCACTGATTATAGTGATCTCCCGGTAAAATCGACACCGCACTCTGCTTCTACTTTAGCTCCTGACCACAATGATGATGCTGCAGTGACATCTGACTCCAAGTCTACAGATCTGCCGGATAGGTTAAGTTCAGCTCAGAAGTCTACTGTAACCCAAAGTACCACTGAAGCTGTTTCAGCCACATCGTCGACGACGAAAGAACCCATCGCTATTCTATCATCTACCGCTCATATCGACGATACAACACCAGTGAACGACGCTTCATCAAACCACCAGAAATTGTCTTACACTGATTCTACTGTTCTCCCGGTAAAATCGACGACGGACTCTTCTTCTACTCCAACCATTAATGATAATGAGGATCTTGCAGTAACAACCCACTTCCAGTCTAGCGATCTGCCGAGTATCTCAAGTTCAACTCAAACGTCTACTGTAACTCGAAGTACCACTGAAGCTACTTCAACCACCAGAGAAAGCTTTGCTATTCAATCTTCTACCATTCACATCCAGCCTGAAACCACGCAAAATGATGCTACATCACTCCGCGAAGAATCATCCTCGATCGATTCCACCGTTAACGTAGTGCAAACGACAACTGAACGCTCTCCTACTTCAAATTCAACTCCCGATATGGATGCTATGGTGATAACTACGGATGTTAGGAGCACAGATGCAGCCACAAGTAAATCTGCCGATTTATCAATCACAACTCGAACTGATATTAGAATATCCAGTGAAACTGCTTCAGTCACACCATCGACCACAGAAGAACGCATACCTATTCGATCATCTACCGCTGATATTGACGATACAACAGCCATAAGCGACGCTTCATCACACCACGAGAAACTGTTTGCCATTGATTCTACTGTGGTGTCGGTACGATCGACGACGGACTCTTCTTCTGTTCGAACCGCTAATGATAATGAGAATATTGCAGTAACAGCTGACTTCAAGTCTAGCGATCTGCCGAACACAAGAACTTCGCTTGAGACATCTACTGTAACTCCAAGTACCACTGAAGCTGCTTCAACCACCAGAGAGAGCTTTTCTATTCAATCTACTACCATTCACATCCAGGATGTAACCACACAAAATGATGCTACCTCACTCCACGGAGAATCATCCTCGATCGATTCGACCGTTGTCATGGTGCAAACGACAACTCAACGCTCTCTTACTTCATATTTAACAGACGTCAAGGACGCTATGCTGAGAACTACGGATATTAGGAGTGCAAGTGGAGTCACAACTAATTCAGAATCTACCGATTTATCCATCACAACTCGAACCGATATTGGAACATCCAGTGAAACTGTTGCAGCCGTGCCATCCTCGACACAAGAACACATGGCTATTCAATCATCTACTAAGCATGTTGATGATACAACACTAGTGAACCAGGCTTCATCCCGCGACGAGAGACCATTTTCCACTGATTATACTGTTCTACCGGTGGAGTCGACGACGTACTCTTCTTCTACTTCACCCTCTAATGACAGTGAGGATACTGCATTAACATCTAACTTCCAGTCTATCGATCTACCGAATACGTCAAGTTCAACTCAAACGTCTACTGTAACTCGAAGTACCACTGAAGCTGCTTCAGCCACCTCATCAACCACAGAAGAAAGCAGCGCTATTCGATCATCTACCGCTCATATTGACGACACAACAGCCATTAACCAGGCTTCATCACACTACGAGAAGTTGTTTTTCACTGATTCTACTGTTGTACCGGTGAAGTCGACGACGGACTCTTCTTCTACTCGAACTGCTAGTGACAATGAGGATATTGCAGTGACAGCCCACTTCCAGTCTAGCGATCTGCCGAGCACACCAACTTCAGCTGAGACATCTACTGTAACTCGAACTAGCAATGAAGCTGCTTCAACCACAAGAGAAAATCTCACTACTGAATCATCTACCATTCACATCCAGGATGTAACCACTGAAAATGATGCTGTATCACTCCACGGAGAATCATCCTCGATCGATTCTACCACTATTATAGCACCGTCCGCAGCTGAATCCTCAACCAGTTCAGATTCGAATGATTTTTCAATATCACCATCAATATCTGCTGACACTAAGGAGTCTATATTTACAACTTCGTCTATAGGCCGATTTCGATCCGTCGGTATATCGGACACAACAAGTTCAACTGAGTCATCTGTTAAAGGTGGACACACTAGTGAAACTACTTCAACCATACTGTCTATTGTCGAAGCAGTTACTACTGTCTCACCGCTCACCACTGATTTCGATGTGACAACGCCAAGCTGGAATAATGAAACAAATGTATTTTCGACCGGCGGTATAACTATCGCCTTACAGTCGACAAATGGAGGATTAGCAGTGTCAAATTTTACTGATATGTCAACACTTGAGCCAGTTTCTGCCGAGAATGACAATAATACGTTTGATGAAACGTCAGTCGTGCCTGAAGAACGAAGAGTTTACTTATCATCTGAGTCGGTTTCTGAATCTACGAACTTACCAAGTGAATTACGTCCCGCTGAATCATCTGTCACAGCTCAACCCAGCAGTGAAGCAGTCACTGAAATCGGTTCAACAAAAATATCTACCACAGAACCAGATATTCATATTCGATCGTCCATTTTGCACGTCGATGCAGTTACGTCAAAAGCAAGCTCTGGAACATTCGACACCACAACACTAATAACAGTAGTAGACGATGAAGCGTCACGTACCGAAAACCTCTTTTCGACCGCTCCTACTGTATCCGAGCTTACCGAAAATAAACACACTGTACTCACAACTGTGACAAGTACATTGGATGATGTATTGACCATATCTGATAAATCTGGAGCTGATCTGTCCACTGGATCACGTACTACGGTTCGTACTGGCAGTGCAACAACGCATGAAACTGCTTCAGTTAGGATGCCCACAACGGAAGAAAATACCAGCATTCAACCGTCTACCACTCACATCAATGCAATAGTGCCAGACGCCAGTAATGAAACATCGGCCACAACAGTACTCACAACAATAATGCATAATGCGTCATCAGTCTCAACATCGACATTTAACGAAGATTCAGTTGAGAAGCAGTCAACAACCGAACGCTCGACTCTATCAGATTCTAGTGAATTCGATACTATTCCATCCACAACGGTGACACACATATTAGACCGTTCGTCGACCGCACACAACACTATTGCAAGCTCATCGTCATTTCTTTCTCTATCTATCGATCAACTGAATATATTAAGTTCGACTGAATCGTCTACTTTTGAAGTCGAGAAAACAGCATCTCACGCGAATAATGAACCATCTACGACTACTATATTGCTTACCACGACAACAGATGATACATCATCCGTGACTGACAGACGGGAACATGATTTATTAACCGTGCACGATACCATTATAACTTCATCCACATATCATTCTCACTCGACTAAGATGCCAGATACATTCAGTGAAACTGATCCAACAAAACTGTCTACCACTCGTGTCGATACATCATCAGTTCAAGAAAAAATGTATTCGATCGGCCCTACTAGTATCCTGGCACAATCGACGAGTGAATTTTTGACTGTGTCAGATTCTATCGGTACTTCGCAAATAATGAAATCCAACCCAACGTTACTGGCAGATCATTCAACAAGAGAGAGATCCATGTCCACTAACTCTATTATTGATTCAACAAGTACTACTTTGGATAAAGAAGAATCAACTTCAACTGTAGGAATATCATCTCATCAATCGAATGCAAATAATTTCCAACACTCAACGACGTATCTTACGCAGCAAGACGTATTCTCGACTATTTCAGCATCATTCACTCCTATTAACGCAGATTCTGTTACATTATCAGAAGAAACATCTGTCAATCTTGACTTAACCACCGATTTGCATAATAAACAAGCAACATTGCCATCAACTCAAAATCACATGTATTCAACAACAGAGAAAATCAGTCCTACAAGTGTTTCGACTGATTCAGATCCATCGTTGGCCGATGCTAAAACAAGCCTTTCTCTCAATATCAGCCAATCGACCGAAATGGATCATACGACCATGAAAGCCAAGTCATCTACTGCTTCCCAAATCGATGATGAAACAACAACGTCAAGTAAAATCGAACAAATCTCAACTAGTACTGCAACAACATCATCCCTGTTGGCTGTCTTAACAAGCAATTATCAATTCAATCCAGATTTCACTACCAAAAATGAGATTAGGTCGATATCATTGACTGATAGTCAACAAACAGGTAAATCTATTTTTGACTTTTCCATATATCAAAATTCCTGTTTTCATTCTTCAGATGCACCAGCCAAATCTTCGACTGGTTCCACATCTTTCAACTCGATTCAATCGACAACCAATTCATCTAATGGAACTTTGCCTACTCCAACAACACGCACTGAACAAACCTCAAGCACGATAGCATCTTCTACTGATATTTTAAATACCACTTTAACCTCACCATAGATATTCTGCATGTCAAATTTGCTTACATATTTTTCTTCGAATGACTTTAAACAACGAATACTTTTTATTTTATATATTCTAGCTCCCAGTTAAAGAAGATAATAACAACGAATACTATGACTACTAACACCTCGTTATCCTCCTATTGAAAAAAGTCTCAAGTCCGGTGTGTACACGAACTTCATAGACGATAACAAGAAACTCGATGTCGCTTTCTTTCTCTTCAATAAACAATTGATAATATATCGCTTCTTAGGAAACAATAATATATCTTTCGAACATGCCCCCATTATCTGATATATATATATGAGTCTTTTCTCGCGCTTCATTCAGATCTATTTGCTAATAAAAACGAATCAATTTCACTTGTGTTTTCATTCACACTTTAGTCACCTGACCATTTTTTCCACTTTACTCTTCATCAATTCGTTGTTGATGATGATGATGATGATGAATATGTACAATGGTGTGAACATGCACAAGCGACCATATACATATAAACGTTTAATTGTGCTCGAGGCTTTCAACAATTGACAATTGATATGAGACAGAAAAAGTGAAATAAAAAGTTGTGTTTAATTTCGCAGGAAATGAAGTGTTCAATTATCGACACAGTTCTCTAGCGAGAAAAAAAGCAAATTTCCTAATTCGCAAATAATTATATCAATTCTTTTGTTCAAGACTTTTCTATTGATCAATTAGATTGGCATCGTCACAGGGAAATAGAGACAGAAAAGTCGATTAAAAGAAAAAAAACCGATAAATATTAAATGATTTGTATGATGACGTCAGTCAATCTTCTTTCCTCTCTCTCTTTTTCATTCAGCTGTGTATGAAACAATCCCGCAAGCAGCTTTCCTTTGATCATCAGATTTCATTTCGTTTGATTAATTTAACAATCATCATCTTTTCAATATTGATACTTCGATTAAATCCTACACATGTCTCTAATTACAAGCTCAATTGAATCATTCAGATAGTTGTTTTCATTTCGCTTTTGACATCATAATCTGTGAATTCACTTGCTGTACCAATCGTCTGAATTGTATCCATTTCTTGGACATTATACGATACAACCGGAATATCATACGCTTTTATTTGTCGTTTAATTTCTTTACTTTCATTGTTTATTCGCTGACGAATAATGAATATATATAATAGAATTAAAATCAAAAGAACAACGACTATGATGATTCCAGTGATAGTTAGCCAAGATTTGAAAAACTTTTTCTTTTCCGGGAATGTTTTTACTTTACAATATACAGTTGAGAAGAAAATTAAGACTAACAAGAAATGCAAACGAAGCAGATTGTTCATAATAGAAAAGATGACAAATTTGTGTTGTTGCCGAGGTAATTCATCAATTAGAAATATGAAGACAAAAAACAAGGTTTAAATTTTTGATTTAGTATTTTGCCTTTTTTTGCAATCAAAGATGCGTATCTATTAATTTTCTTTTATTCTTCAACGTTCGATGAGAAAATTAAACAGCAGTCAAATGTCGTCGTCAGTTAATTCATATATTATTAAATATAGTCATCATTTCAGACAAATTAGAATGTCGTCAAGCAGTCACCGAAACGAACACATACAGAAGCTTGAAGGGGAGAAAACGCCGAGTATGATTTCTTCACCCACCCTCGTTCTCTCTCTCTCTCTCTTTCTCCTGTGCTTCATGTACAATATGCACGCGCGTGAAATGATTATATTGGTTTGTTGATTACAACATACGAACCATCCTTCTCTTAATATTCACCAATAGAATAACTCGATGCACTCTATTTTTTCTTCTTCCTCGGTGAAAGAAAAAGAAAGAGAGAGAGGGAGGGAGCGAGAGAAAGGAAAAGGGAATATAATTATCATCGGACACATCTAGTCATAACTAAAGTTTTTCTCTCTTCCTCAGTGCGCACTTACGATCAAATCATCCACTACATTTCATAATTGAATAAAAACACTGACATATTCATATTCATAAATATTAAAACGTAGCAACGAAACTTCTCAATGCGTGGTTTCACGATCGCTTGTATACTCGAAAGTACGAATTCGACTTCGACATCGACACCAATAGCAACAACGAATAAATTAAAACGAAAGAATTCTGATGATAATGAAGAATATCAGCCTAATAAACGACAAACAACGGAAGGTAAGAGAAAATACTTCTTTTCTTTTATTAAGATATCGTTTCAATTAGTTTTTCAATACATCTTTATTGAATACATAATAAGACTTAATCAATACAATCTAGCTCTATTGTTCGGAAACTAGGAGAAAGAATGTCTTGTCAATTACTTCATTAACGTCGAGATGAAAAGGAAAAGAAGGAGAGACAGAGAGAGAGAATGTCATTGATCAACAAAGAAGAGAAAACAAGCTAAATTAATATGAATTTTTTTTTGTCGTTTATTAGTATCTGAAATCTTATCACCGTCATCCGCTCTGCTTCTGCCAAGTTCATCATCTGACAATAGTAATAATAAATTGTCAATTAACGACGAAGAACGTGATTCCTCTACGGAGCAACACAGTTGTGACGAACGGCCACGGAAAGTCCGACGAAGTCGAACAACATTCTCTACATACCAGTTACATCAGCTGGAACGTTCATTCGAAAAAACGCAATATCCAGATGTCTTTACACGTGAAGAACTTGCGATGAGATTGGATTTAAGTGAAGCGCGTGTACAAGTTTGGTAAGTAAAAGAAAGACAAACTTTTCTGTTCGTTTATCAAATGAGTTATTCTATCAAGGTTTCAAAATCGTCGCGCTAAATGGCGTAAACGTGAAAAAGCTCTCGGTCGTGAAAGCCCGAATTTCATGGGTCCACACGATTTAGAAGCCTTTCGTCATCAAATGTCAACGTATTTATCCAATGCTTTAACTGGAAATATTCCAGTCCCTAATGAACGTCCGCAATTACCTGTGCCTCCACCACACTATCTTCCATTTCTCATGGGTCATCTCGACGAAAAAGTCCTAGCCCGTTTACCAACTAATGCGGCAGCAGCAAACATCTCTCCAAATTTCGGCTTGCTATATCATCATCCTCATCATTCAACACCGCCGCCAAATATTAATATATCATCTGCATCGCCAACATCATCATCGAACTCATCAACATCAGATATTCCGGAACAATCATCGTCATCACCATATTTAGCAACATTCGATCATCATAGACGTGTGAAGCTAGAACTACAAGATGCTACTGCTTGAAAAAATCTTGTTTTCTTTTTGTTCTTTTCGTTTCGCTTCTATTTACAGTGCTTGTACAGTTTGATGTGAGTGTGTGTGTGTGTCTTATTTTTTAAATACGAAGAAAAAAACTCCGAAGAGAAAGTAATCATATTAAAGTTTCTATGCTGCAGAAGATTATTTCTTATTAAACATAAATCGGTTTACGATTGGTTGAATCCTGCGAACATGAAAATTTCTCCCCTGGGACGAATGAATAGGCCATATAAGAACAAGAAAAAAAACTGTGTACATGTATTCATTGGTTCTTTGTCAATAAAAAGAAAGAGATGATTTGATTAAATCCNAAAAAACTCCGAAGAGAAAGTAATCATATTAAAGTTTCTATGCTGCAGAAGATTATTTCTTATTAAACATAAATCGGTTTACGATTGGTTGAATCCTGCGAACATGAAAATTTCTCCCCTGGGACGAATGAATAGGCCATATAAGAACAAGAAAAAAAACTGTGTACATGTATTCATTGGTTCTTTGTCAATAAAAAGAAAGAGATGATTTGATTAAATCCATTAAAAAATAGATTCGATAATTTTCTTATTCATTTCGATATTTATGATGTTGATGACAATACAGAGTAAATTAGATGAGAGATAACCGGAAATGTAAGAGAGAAGGTCGAACTTGTAATTTAGACAAAGATGAACGGAAATACATCATCATCAAAAGAAAAGATGAAGAAAGAAGAAAGTTCACGTCGCTATACTTTAGATTGACATTGTTAGAGTAGAGAACATAGTTTGCATGTTTAACAAGAAAGAGTCTCAAACTAATCGAATAATCCGTTCTAATCTGTTGCTATGAAAGACCTAATCGTTTTCCGCTTCATTTCGTTTCTATTGGTATATGAATAAGAAAAACGTAACTATATGTTTATATGACAAGGATTTTGATTCACACCATCATCATCAGTGCCACCACCTGGCGTGTTATTGAATGAATAGAGCTACTCGAGTTAATTGTAGACGACTTGAGCTCGTTGGAAACATACACATACATACATATATATATATACACTCTTGTTCTTATATACAAGTGGCTCAATATATAATTGTTCTATAGTTGCATATTCTTGTCTCTTTATCCGTACACACATACGCATACTTAGATCGTTAATACCCATAATTAGATTCGAGGTTGTTTCATGTCATTTGTCTTTATCACATTCTATACAAGAGAGAAAAAAGGCCTACTTATCGGAATAATAGAAAAAAAAGAGATACGATTGTTGATAGAATGAAGTTACTAACATGCGAAGTCTATTAGAACTAAATAATTACAGTATATATGCTTTCTTTATCTTTAATAATATGTTTGGTTATGAATAATTTAGAAGAAAATAACAGCAATGTGGACATTGATGATGAGGATAATGTCGTTGAAATAAGAAGCAATTTGAAGCCTGATTACATCTGATGATGACGACAGTAAAAGCAAGTGCCCGATGCCGATGAATTGCTCATATCCGGCTTGCGTTTTATTCTTTAATCATCTCCATCTGCATTTTTTGTCATCGTCACCCTCATCAGATGGATGACAATAAAACAAAAAAAAAGAAGAAACTGAATGAACGTNGACATTGATGATGAGGATAATGTCGTTGAAATAAGAAGCAATTTGAAGCCTGATTACATCTGATGATGACGACAGTAAAAGCAAGTGCCCGATGCCGATGAATTGCTCATATCCGGCTTGCGTTTTATTCTTTAATCATCTCCATCTGCATTTTTTGTCATCGTCACCCTCATCAGATGGATGACAATAAAACAAAAAAAAAGAAGAAACTGAATGAACGTCATCATGGGCAATTGCTGATTTCAATTGCAATATCCTGTTGTATGTGCATATCACACGATACTCTTCACATCTCTAATTTTGTTTCATTTCCGTCCGAAATGTTCGCTTTGCTCATCGAGGTGTAGATCCTCTCGTGTATGTCGCCTCTAATCAAACTATTCTCTTCCGAAGAAAATTTAAATTAATATAATATATATGTGTAAGTTCTTCTTCTTCTTCTTCTTCTTCTTTTATACAAAAGAAAACGTACAGGCATGTTGACATAGAAAGTTAAAGAAAGTAACGAGCAAAAGCAAGTGAAACATTAATAATCAAAAGACAAGTACCGAAAATTAAACCAAGTAGAATACCAGCACGACGCCGTTTGAACAAACTTGGATATAAATATTCGACGAATGAAGAGAGGATATATTGACCATCTAACGCATAACATGGTACAGCATTGAAGAAGGCTAATGCGAATGAAAATGCGCCAAGATATCTAGATGAATCGAAGTAGGACAAAGAAAGTTTTAGTGCAAAATTCACTTACTGGAAAAATAGTGGAATGTCATGTATGAGTGCCGTTGGAAAGTATCGGTAGTTTGGCTTGTAAGACTGGATACTGACTAAAATTAGTTAAATAGAGCAACTGAAGTCGTCTGAGCGTCCTGTTGTCCTAAGAAGGATATGAGCTTTTATACTATTCGACCTCGATTCTTTGAAAACATGAGGAGGCGTTTATCATCTTTCGATTGGATTACGAGAGGAAACATAAAGGAAGCCACAATCTATTAATTAGGATTCCATATATGGCTTGGCTGTCTGTGCTGAAGAAAAACGAGGTTAGGACCGGTGTGTTTCTTTCAATATGATTAATTGACTTTATTCTATTGGATAAAGAGTTTTCGGTGATTCACAAAAGTGTATTCTATCGCACATTGTGAAGAAAAATTCATTACCGTTTCAATTTCATAGTTCATCATTCGCTAGGCCTGTTCATTTATTTCTATCGATTGTTTATTCATCAGAATCATTAAGAATAGTTGCTGACGGAAATACAAGCTCATGAGTGTTCCGCGTCTTTCCCTAACCGTATTTTGTTCGATTTAAATGCACTCCTGTGTTTGAACTCTAGTCGATACAGACAATGGTTTGTCTTAGGAGTAAATTGGGATATCGGAAATATACTGTAATCGAATGTACACGGCTTACTAGTTCGATAGATTTCATGAATGGAACCAACAAAAAGTATTGGTGGGCCATTGGAATGCGCAATACGTATCAAGCGTGTAATATTGTCCGATGAAAATGGATGAATACATGAGGCATCTTCTTGATAACTCTGACAATCGCTGTTGACTAAACAAGATGGATGTTTAATTACAACTCGAGCTTCCATACATGCACCGTTCTACGAGGAAAGAAATGAAAGTAATGAAGGACTGCGAATGAAAGTTACTTGATCAGGATATTGTTTGGAATGAAAGAGAAAACAATAGTTTTTTTGAGATAAGTTTTGACAACAGTCATGATGGCTTGTTTGATTGAGTTCTAAAAATAAATCCACGTTTTGTAATTTAATCTACTTTTTCTTGTGCAGAGAGTCTTCTATTGAAAAAAACATACGGAAGTTCATTGTAAGATCGTGACGTATTTCTATTATGTATAGAAATCTTGGGTTTTTCATTCTAATGAAGTTATTCAAGTTTTACATTTGATTGCTTTGAACTCATCAGCTCGAGCCCCCCCCCCCCCCCCAAGCAAAACACTGCGGAAGACCGGGGACACACACCAGGACCGGGGTACCCAATACACT